ATTATCCAATTCATTGTTATATATTCTACTAATAGTATTTCTTTTAGGTTTTTTTTGATCAAAGGAAATAATAAAGTTCAAAGATATTCCAATTTATATCAATTTATTTCGTTTAGGTTTTTCTAATCTCGAGATATTATATCGATTTCCTTTTGATATTATTTTTGTTCATAATTATCATCTTCGATTATATTAAAGACAAATAATAACAATATGAAGATAATATTGAATTGATATTTTCCAAATCTAATTTTCTTATAATAACCTCTTTAACCTTATAATTTCTTGTTTCGATAATCCTTGAATTAATAATCCGATTCGTTATATCCAAAATACAATTTATTCTTTTGTTTTTGATCTATTTCCTTTTTAGATAATTTATTTTTAAAGATTATATCCAATTATATTGGATCTCTATACAATTATCGATAATTTCGAAATCTTCCTTTATTCTTGTAATACTTATTACAATCTCGATTTCTATAAGAATTAAAGAATCAATACTCTTTTTAATATTCATAAAGTATCTTATTCACTTTGATTAACTCCTTGATTAATTCGTTCAGATCTTCCCAAATACAATTATAATCCAATTCTAATCTAATCTTCATCTTAAATCCTTTTCTATAATAACTCATTATAATATTCTCTTTTTATTTTGTAATACCTATATATCATCTGAATTCTGTTTGTTTAAAGCTATAGATCTTGGATTCAGTATTATATAATTCGTTGATATTTCCGAATATTCATTATATTTCCTTTTTGAATTTTATAAATATCTCAAAGATGATTTGTATTAGATATATTCGTTTTTTGAGATTATTCAGATAAATAAAGTAATCTTTAAAATAAAATTGAATCTATTTGAAAACTTCTCTTTTAAAATAGAAAATTATTTAAATATTTTTATTGATATTGTAATAGAACTTATTCTTATTGAATTCAAAATAGATTTTAAATTAAAATAAAAAGGTTTCCAATTCTTATCAATGATCTATAAATTTATTGAATAAAACAACTTTAAAAATTTCGATAACAATAATCTCTTTAAAATCCTTTATTTTTTTTATAACGATATCTCCATCTTGATCTATATCTTTTAAAATAATTGAAATTGGATTACTAAATTGAAGGATTTAAGAAAATATAATATTATTTTGTCGAATTAATATTTGAAATAATAATAATATTCAAAATGTTATAAAAAGTATAATCTAGATTATATAAAAATAATCTGGATTCTTGAATAGTTTATAATTAGATATTAAACAAAAGCTTTAAAATAATATCAATAATTACAATTCATAATTAATAATAGATTATACTAAATAATTGATTTTAAGTATAAAGCTTTTATATATATGAAACTCTTTTGATTTATATAGATTTTTGTATTTTATAGATTTATATAGATTTATAATTCGTATAGATCTACAATTCGTATAGATCTACAATTTATATAGATCTTCGATTTATATAGACCTACAATTCATATAAACCTTTGATTTGTATAAACCTACGATTCGTATCCTTGTATATATAAAATCCATCACATAATCTCTAGGATTAGATTATATATCCGAGCTTGCTGAGAGCAGGGAGACCACATGAAGTGATTACTATACAAATTTGTATACAAATCGCCTTGCTTTTTGATGAGGCCTAAGCTTATATAGACAGGTTGACTGTTATCTTATAATAATAATATATTAGAAAAGATAATTTCAGATCAAAACAAATTATTTACTTTGAAATTTTGAATTACATTAACAATATTATTAAGTATAAAAAGGAAGTTATTGATAACTTTCTATTTATAAATAAATAGACAAATAGAACAATTAAATTAAATAATAAAAGTTTATTTATGATATTATATTAATTACAAATAAGATAATTAAATTGAATTACTATCTTTGATTTAATTTATATATAATTCATCAGAAATGGAAATAATGAAAACTATATTAGTTTATACTAACTTTGGATTCCATCCAATAATATATCGAACAATATTATTACAAAATGGAAATGTAAATAAAACTATAAAGAATATTGAAAAGATCAAAGATCTATAAAAGTAATTCTTTTTGGATTTATAATTTATAGTTTTAAAAATAACAATGTATTATAATATATTATATAATTTGGAATCTATATTTAAAGAGAAGAATAAAGTTTATCTCTTTCAAAGAAATATATAAATAAAATAATCTAATAATAAACTAGATTACAAGAAACTAGGATTATTTAAAATTGATAAAATAATTGAATCAATTAATTATAAATTAAAACTATTATATACTATAAATATCTATTCAGTATTCTATATATCTTTATTTAAATCAGTATCATCAAAAGTATCCAATATATCTATAACAGAAATCGAATTAGTTAATCCAAATATTATATATGATATCGAAACAATATTAAATTATAAATATATTAAAAACAAAATCAAATATTTGATTAAATAATTGGATTTCTTATATTCGAAGAACATTTAGAAGTTAAAGAAAAATCTTAATTACTTTAAAAAATTGAAGGCATTTTATCAATATTATCCAAACCTTTCCAAAAAGGATCCAAAAAACTTAGGAAAAAAAAAGAATTATAATCATCAAACAAATTTGTATTAACCCTAACAAATATCAACAAATTAAAACTCGATTACTTCTTCTTTTGTTTTATATACTTTTTATTTAATCTTTTTTTTTCTTTTATTTTATCCAATTCATTTATCGTTTTCAAATTATAACAAATCATTTTGAAAATCCATCTACAAAGGAAATATTATTATTTATCAAAGCAAAACAATTTCGATAAAGTTTTTTTATATTTATAATCTAAATATTTTTGCTTTTGTATAATACTTATTATATCCCTAACAATAAACTTTAATATATCATATCGTTAACCCCGATAAATATATTTACTATAACAATTGGAATTTTTTTTAACAATAATACAATAATACAAATGTTTTTCATAATAAATATATAAAGATATTTTGAATCTTTTAAACTCGATTATTAAAACAAATTCGATTTGTTCTTTATATTTTCTTGATCTTATAGATAATATAATAAAGAAAATAAAAAAATTTATTTTATAAAAATTTATAATATAATAAAAAAAGCAATTATAAAAGCTTGAAATAAATATTAAATTAGAAAGAAAATAATATTACAAAATAACAATCAATTTATTTATATAAATTTAAATCTCATCAAAAAGCAAAACGATTTGTATATAAATTTATATAATAATTGTCTTATATAATCTCCCTATTTTCAACAAACTCGAATATATAATTTGATCCTAAAGATTATATAATAGACCCTATATATACAAGAATACAAATCATAGATCTATATAAATCGAAGGTTTATACAAATCGTAGATCTATACGAATCAAAAGTCTATACAAATTATAGATCTATACAAATTGTAAATCTATATGAATTGTAAATCCATACAAATTTATAAAATATAAAGATCTATATAAATCAAAAGGATTTCATATATATAGAAACTTTATACTCAAGATCAATCATTTAATATAATCTACTATTAGTTACAAATTGCAATTATTGATATTACTTTAAAACTCCTGTTTGATACTTAGTTATAAACCATTCGAGGATCCAGGCTACTTCTACATGATCTAGATCGCACCCCTCGTAACAAAAAGTGGTAGGTCGAGATATATATGTCCCGATAGCATATTGTGAGGAGGGAATTGGAAAAGAAAGCTGAATTAGATTATATTGTAATATATTATTTATAAGTAAAATAAGGTTTATAATGATTTTGGGATTGATGTTATATAGGTTCAAATGTATATATATAGAAGGTTAATTATTGTGAAAAGAAGAGACAAAAGATTCTTTTTTTATATCTAATTATAAAAGGTTATGTGATTAACTAATTAAAACCTTTATATATTTGATCTATAATTTCAACTTTCTTATATTATAAACATCAATTTTTATTATTTTTAGTAAGAAAAATAATCGAAATATAAAATAAAAAACTTAAATTTAATTTTGAAATGAATTAATTTATTATCTATTATATATTATTTGAAAAAAAAAATTTATCTAATTATAAAAATAAAAGTCACATTTTTTAAAAAAAAAAATATATATTTTTAGTTAAATTTGATCAACTTTAGATTCACTTATCCTTCTAGGAAGATCAAAATTAACGAAAAGTACTTTCTGCAAGTACTTTTTGCTTTCTTAGGGACAAGTGAAGCCACCCATCCTATTCCATCATCAAGCCATCAAGTTGCTCATCTTCCTGAATTTACATGCTGAAGAGTGCACAATCATCAAGGACAGTCGCGGTTACATTTAACATCGCGATATTTACAAAATGATCACCGGCAAGTAGGGATGTGCAAAATGTAATTATATAAAGTATATGTCGGTACATCATGTGATCAACCTCGAAAGGGAGCCGTACACAAAGGGAGCCGTACAAATAGTGCATTCTAGCCCATACCCCTTTTAATATAAATAGGTCTCTCTCCTCTAGATAGATAAGAATCATCCATGAACAAATACAAGAAGATACTACTATACATTGCATCGTATCACTGAAGTGATACCAACAGTATAATAACAGACCCCGCCTTATAATATGTAATAATGCAGCTCGCTTTATTTTTTATAGGTTTATAAATAGATTTTTACTAGGGGGAAGAGTAATATAAGTTGTATGATTGAGCAGATCGAGGAGAACTCATTCTATTGGATGTATGATCATGTGGAAAGTTTGAGGAATAGTGAATATCATTTATTGTATTGATTGGCTCTATGGTATGATTAAGCTTTTACAAAAAAATAAAGCATATAATACTGAAGCAAGCCCTTATTATGCTTTATTGTAATCTAGCTCTGCTTTATGTAAAGCCCCCATCCCTACCCGCAAGTCTCCCCTCATTCTGGTTTTTAAAGGCTACTCAGTCATCTTCTGATATTAGATACAAGATGGTATCGGTGAATCATGACGATGTTAACGCGGTTGTTGAAAGAGCGGAGTATGAAGATGTGGTGGTACGAGATGAAAATATCATGGGATTTAAGGGTATATGGAGAAATTTCACGGAGTTTATGTCGAAATGGAGATCTATTTTCAACAGGGAAACGTGAGTTGATCCCACTCCCTCTATCTTATATCATACAGCAACTAACAACCACCAGTTACTCCGGCTCCCTCCTCTTCAACATCTTCTCTTTCATCCTCCCATCCCTCTACTCCACCCTTAGCAAACTCTGGGTCGCCAACATCGATTCCTCAAAAGTAGTCACTACAGATGTATACACCTACATCGGCACGATAGTCGAAGTACTAAATGAGGGTCTTCCACGCGCTGTCTGGGTCATCATTGGTGATTCCTCAAATCGAAGTCTCAATAAGCGTTTAAGTCTCACATACACTCTTATTACCTTCCAAATCCTGCTCGGTATCCTACTTATGATAATATTTCTTTCAAGCGCCGAATATCTCGCCGCGGCTTTCGTCCCCGAGGTTGTGAGACAGGCTAGTTTGACGTATGTTAGGATATCATCAGTACAAGCACTGTCCAGCGCGATGAGCACCGCGGTTGCAAATTCGACGAGAGCGTTGGATCATCCAGATGTACCGTTATTGATTAGTACAGTACAATTTGCGGTGAATATTCTGCTGGATCTACTTATTATTTCGAAGTTTCATGTGGGAGGTTTTACACCGACGCTCAATATGCAGGCGTTGATTAGGATGACGTGTGATCTTGTTTCTGCGGGATGTGGGTTAGGATATTTTATTTGGCTTGCTTTGAAAATGCAACGGTCTGCATCCTTACCCTCGTCGCCATCTCCATCTCCATCTCCATCTCCATCTCCATCTCCATCTCCATCTTTATCTCCACAGGTATCAGAGAGCAACATCTCACAATCTCCATCCTCATCCGAAAGCGAATCGAACCCCAGAATCACCTTCTCGGCTCTAAAAACTCTATTTAAACCAGGAATATACACATTCCTTGAGTCTGCCCTGCGCAATGCAATCTATCTCTATCTCATCCACGGGATCGTATCAATGGGTCTTGATTATGCTACTGCATGGGGGGTATTTAATAATATTAGATGGGGAGTGGTTATGGTGCCTGTTAATGCATTAGAAGCTTCCACGTCGACTTTTGTGGGTCATGCGTGGGGTGCTTGGAGGAAGCGTGTTGGGGCTGAGGTGAAGAGACCGAGGGCTGAGAGACGAGATATTTTGAGTAGGTTTTTCTGTTATGTTTGTTTAATGAATTGATTAAGTTGGCTGTGTAGTAGAGAAGGAAGAAGTAAAATGTTAACAAACCAAGAAATCGTCCATTACGCCCTAATATCCTGCGTCATCGCCCTCATCATCGAAAGCACATTCTGCATCTTCCTCTCACTCTGGGGCATCAAAAAATTCTCCTTCTATCTTTCCGAATCAGCAACCGTAGCCAAAATCACAGAACACATGTGGCGAACCATAGATTGGTGTTACATTTTCTACGCACTAACAACACAATTAGCCGCCATTTTACTAGCTACGGTGCCGAAATTATATTTCGTGCAGAGCTTGGGGAGTAATTTACTTTGGATGTTGCCGTGGGCGATAGCTGTGGGTAAGATTCAAATGACGGCCCAGAATGCGTGGACTTATCATGGGGTTATTTTTGGGGGTGCGTTGGTTTTTGATTTTGTGAATGTGGGTGTGGTTTTAGGGTGGTGGTATTGGGGGTTGAGGAGGGGAAAATTGGAGCTGGGTGTTGTGGGTTAGGGGACATTTGTAGTGGGTATGAGGAAGAGGTATTTTTCATGATGGTTTGGGAGGTCTGTAGAAGTTGGAATGATCAGGCCTAGTAGTTCCAAGTATCTTTGTGTGACATTCGCCTAATCTCTGTCCCATGTCTATTTCATTTCAATTCGCCGAAGAGGACATCGAAATGGTCACTTGATAGATCTTTCACAGTTAGATTCGATAATTTTATCACAGTATGCATAAGTGTAATGCAGATAGTTTTAATTGGGAAGTCGAGACCCTACGGAGATGCTGCACTCCCTGCCTAAGAAGCTCTTACCCGTAGTCTTTAGTGGGTGATCATTCCCAGAATTTTTACGCTTATATCAACTTGAATAAACTTCATTGAGGATTTCCTCGTCACTTCTGGATATTCTTGCAATATCTAGGATTATTTTAGGGTTTAATTCCTCGATTGAAGCAATCTTATTGCTGATTACCTTTTACTTTTTCGGTTGAGCTATTGACTGGAAATCCCTTAAATCAGCGTCTTCAATAGTCCGGGTTGACGTCCGATACAAGGCTTCCCGATTTAGTTAAGATCGAAGTTATATCTTGGGAAACGTGAGCTGTGGTGCTGACGAGAGATGTATAATCTATCGCTACAGAGTTGACTCCAGAGCACAATCAGGAGAATCATCTACCTTTTTACTGGGATATTTGGCCAATATTTGAGAACGATAGTTCATCGTGTCTCTATGAAAGTGCTTCAAATAATTCCATCTCTTTTCAAGATCATCAAGAGATTCAAGAAGACTCTCTAATGGAGATCGATGGTGAGGGTGATTTTAACTCTGATTTGGATGAAAAAACGAAATCTTTTAAGAGTGGTTAACAGGATTCGATCAGCGCATCAATTGTATTTGGGTATTAGTAGAGAGTTCAATGAGGGAAGGTTGAAGGGTTCGGAGAATAGAAGGAGGAATTAGCAGGATATGTAGAGGATTTTGAGGAGTGTTAGGTGTTATATGGAGATGGGTTGGAGAAGGATTAGTGCTGAGTAGATGTGGAAGCTTTCATTTTTGTAGGATGGTAGGTTTAGACACGCTTTGTTTTTAGGAGAAATTTCAATATTTGTAGTGGTTTGAATTAGTTTAATGTAAAAAGTCCATTTAAAACCTCCTCTTAGATTTTTCATTCTCGCAAAAGCGGTTCAGCTATTGGAAACACTTGGAAGGATCGAGAGGGACACTTTGGGCTCATTGGTTGTTTAACAATTTCAAGGATTATTATAAGGAAAGTTCATCTTGAGTCTTCCCAAAATCTCGTTTTATTTCGTCTGCTGAAAATAAGCGCAATTAATAGTTGAGAATGAAGGGAGGCCAATCGTGACTGAAGTTTGGGTAGAAAATAACATCTCACACCCAAAAATGGCATACGATAACAACTACAACCTCCAAACCATCTATTTGCTAGATTTTCTGTAGGAAATTGAGGTAATTCACACTGGGTTTCGAGATCCCTGATCTGAAACAGCCCGATTCGATTGTTATTGGAGAATCAATCCCAAACACTTAACCACCGCCAAGAACCAGGAGCCAGGAAAATCAAAAACAACCACTTCATCCCAACCTCGGAATGTCGTCTCATGTATGAAACTCGATATGTCAGTAACCGTTGGCAACTAAGAAGATCAGACGAATATGTCTTCAAGGCTGCTTAGAATTCCACCTATGACATTGCAATTTATGTTGTGTTAATTTTTAGTTCTTTGCTTATAGCTGGTCTAGTAGCATGGGATATTACGATGGTTGACAAGCGCTCCCTTCGGACGGGTTTGAAGATTTCAGATTTGCGCAGTTGGTCCCGAAAAAGATATTACTTCACATGTCCTTGATGTCTTATTCCCCGCTGTTGTGTACATAGGCGCTTTTAGAGTAGGGGTTGATACAATAGTCTAGGATATCTTCCGTATTTTACCTGTCAATGTAACAAGATGAGACGAAGAAGGTAGCCATGAAAGCAACGCCATCAACACCTGTAGGATGGTTATATATTTCCTCATTTTCTTTTCATTATCATCCTCATCTTTAATATAACATTTACTCCCATTCAATCTTCATTTTCTCACACAGCTGTGCTGTCTATTGAACTATTAATACAATTATTTTACATCACAAATTCACATTGCGAATTCGTCCAGAAATCACTCGATTGACTTGTGTATTCTTATCCCACCCAACCGGAGCAACCGAATTACTAAGAATGCGTTCCTCACTCCCAGCTCTGATCCTCCTCCTCTCCGTCGTCTATGCCTCCCCTCTTCAGAAGGCCGCAGCGACCCCCACTGCAGTGAAGTCAGCCGCAGCGGCCGCGAACTCAACCGTTGCCCGTATTCCGGCAGCGTCTACCTCTACTTCTACAGCATCTGCCGCAAGTGTTCTCACTGCTTCCGCATACAACGATTTTCAAATATCTAGCGGCACGGCTGGAACGGCCCAAGATGAAGCTAATGCCCTCTTTACGGCCATCGATAGGAATAATCTCGGTGCTGTGTCTGCATCTGACCTCAAAATTATCCAGGGAATCCACGATGCTGCCGAGAAAGCCGAAACCGATGCTTTTAATCCGGCCATTGAGGCCGCAAGTGGTGATGATGCTACTGCTCTTCAGGTAAACATATCCCATCCCGTCCTTTCACTATTCTCTTTTACCCTGTAATACATGCATGTAGCTTAAAACGACTAACTCAAAACCCAGAACGGCAAAATAAAGAACAAGGTCCTCAAACTCACAGCTGAGGTCCTAGGTATCCAAGTCAAAGCAGCACAAGGAGGAGATGATTCAGATTTAGAGGCTGAACAAAAAAAATTGGCCAATAACGTTAAATTGGATATTGCGGCTGAAGGAGAAACCAGTACCGCGGTCAATTTTGATGCTACGAGTTGAAGAAGCGTTGGGTATTGCGTATAGGGGTATGGGGTAGGGTATGATGCAGGAGTGAGAAAAGTGGATTGGGAATAATATCATTCGTCGTTTCAAGGCGGGGGTGTTCGTGAGGTGGAGCTGGAGATGCATGGGCGCTGTTGGAGGAAATGAAGAATATTGACTTGGGCGCCCCAAGTTCGAGAAGGAGAAGGTATTGAGGTGGAACTCTAGATTGGAGGTTTAGGTTGATCATGGAAGATGGGATTGGGTGGGTGATGAGCGAGCGTTTTTGGTTTAGGGATGTAACCGAGTGAAGTGGATATCAGCTGTACGATGTAATGGCACGTACGTACATGAGGCTCAAAATTCGAAAGTCGCCCAACCCCACCTCTATACGGGTCGGGCATAGGAAAGCAGAAATGGATATTCATGTAATCCGAACGCACATGATTTGATCATTTCGTTCGTAGCCAAGGAAGTGCTCCGACCGACCGAACTGTCTATCCTAATTACGTCACCGCCCCAACACATCCAGTTTTCAAGAGCCAACATTGAATTCGGAAATATCCTAATAATAAAATTCCCACTGATTTATCACCTAATTAGACTTAGGCGTTGCATTGATGATGAACCCTTTTTACATATCCGCGCTCGAAAAGTGAAAGTCTTCCGAGATGCTAATGCTGAGCCGCTTCTTTGAAATGCAAGTTGTGTAGTCGACACATGGTCTGGGTTAATGGATTGAATATAATTAATTGGAATTATACCTAGATAGAGTGGATTCGAAACTCTTGGATTAATTATAGATTTTAGATTTAGTAAGTTACAATTTCAATAATTTAAATATATATATAATAGAAATAGATATTAATTTATTTTATTTTTAATTCTTTGATTTAAAACTTAAAATTATTTCTGAATTTATATAATTAATTGTAATTAGAATTAGAAAAACAGTTAAAGTATATCTTTAATAACCCGGGGTATTTTTCATTAAATAAATATTCTATTTTAGTTTTTGAAAGAAAATAAATATCTTATAAATATATATTAAATAAGTGAATTTATAAATACAAGTATAAATCTTAATAACTTTTTATTTTATTTAGATTATATAATAATGTTGAAACTAATAAAATTATATATCAAAAAATTCTTTTCATCATTATATTTATATTAAATCCTCTATTCTATATTCCGATCATTTTTTTATATCAAAAATTACAATTTTCATCTATTAATAATTTTATAGCAAATAAATAAAATCGATTGAACTCCAAGCATAAATAATTTAAATAGATATAAACAGATTTTGAAAATTTCAGATTTTTAATGATTTTATTTTATATAGGATTTATACACAAATAAATTTGTGAAAAATCTAATTTTTTAAAGTTTATTATTATATAAATAATAAATCTATATTCAAGATTTTAAAAAATATATTTATAAATAAGAAAGTTATAAATATTGATTTTTGTTATTTTTAATAAGAAAATTAACTGGAAAAAAAAGTGATCGGAATATATAATAAAGAACCTATATATTATAATTAATAATAAATTTAAATTTGAATAATTATACAAAATAATCTGATTTTATTTTAAATATTAATTTTATTTAAAAGACTTATAGAGTAAAATATATATTTTAAAATCTAAAATACTTCAAGTATTAATATAATATTTGATTATAATTCTTTATGAAATTTATTACTTGTTTTTTTATTATTAATAATCAATCACCATATCACAAATCTTTCAACTCATTATTAATAATTTGAATTGGATTTTCCAAAAAAGGTATGATCAAGTACCCGTCGACTCCACTGAATGCAAGCTATGCACTCCAGGATCTGCTGAAAGTTTTACACATGCCTTATCTCGCAGTGAGATAGATACCTTATCTCTGCGGGAAACTGTAACTCAAGAGGGGCATTTCGCTTCGGATATCTCAATAGTCTGGCTATCCCGCGCGGTGACTCCAACTTGGTTGCGAGGTTGAAAATATTATAGGTTGCTGCTTAAATCTCATTATTACAACGGTACGATTTTGGCTAGTGCTAGAGATACTCTCATATAATGCGATGCTACAGGGAGCGGGAAATGCTGTAAGATGGAGAACACTAATGTGCAATGTCGTATGGTAAGATAGACTGCAGGCAGCCCTCGATACAAGGTATCGAGTCTATCCGGTATTCTCTGTGAGTATTTATATCTATAAGTTCTTTCATGTTGTCTTTGATATTCCAGTTTTACTTGTATAGACAAAACGGCTTTCTTGATTTATACTTTACTTTATTCTCTGGCGGATATGTGCGAGCTTCAAGTAGACAGATCAACTATACCAGCTGGACACCAGATGGCCAGTGGAATGGGTACGTTTCTTGTTTCTTATGTGTCAAGCTGCAAAGCCTTTTCCTTATTTTTCCCAAGTACCCGATGGTTTGTATGAATCGTTACAGTTTTGCTTATCAAGATATTCTCAGGTATAGACGGCAATGGCCAAATCCCAGAACAGGAGCAGATTCTCTCTGATGTGGCAGTACGAGTACACTCCGCTTTCAATGGAGAGACATCCAAAGTACCCCTAGAGATATTGTGGAGTCGTAAAATTGTTGAGAACTCTCCTTTGGCAAACCACATCTCCGCGATCAAAGAAAAGCTAAATGGAGCGGATAATAACACGCCCGAACAATATCAAGGCGGGGATGCCTGGCAGAACTTTCGACCAGAACTCGAGCACAGCAGACTGCTTGATATCAAGGGACAAAGCGGACCCTTCGATGCTTATTCAAGGGAATTGGCGGAAATGACTTCGAACGCACTGGAGATATTGCAAAGCATTATTCAACAAAGAGATGACTCCTACGTGCCACAAGACAAGGACAAACATAGCAAGAAAGTCTGGACTCAGCCAGTTGTGATTGTGGAAAACGACGCCGTTGGAATCATGCTTCAAAAAGCCAGGGCCGGAGCCAATGGTACCCGCTGCACTAAATCCACTGTTGTTTCTTGTCTCTCTCCCGACTATACCAAGGTAATAGATGAGTTTGGATTGGCCGGTGTCGCTAAATATCCCATCTTCATGGGTTCCTGGTGGATGGTTCCACTAATGCACGACTTTGATGATTGGCGCCAAGACTATCTTTCCATTTTACTCTACTCTTTCTTTTTCGAATACAACGTAGACAAGGTCACTGGTAGCAAATCTCTGTCAGCTTTAGGGAAGCAAGTGGCAGCAGTTTGGGATATGCCTAATTTGCCAGAGGAACTGCAGATTCGAAGATCACACATGCTCTGTTCCATGGCCTTTTTTGATCTCAAGCGCACACATGAAGATGAATTCTGCAACCAGAATACTGATGGACGTACCGTCTGGGTTCACAAAGATCGGGATATGTGGCGCGATTTCAAGGCTCTAGACTCGGCTGGCTATTCGCACTATTTGTCCTTTGCCCCTGGAGCTGCTGGGCGCAATGATATGATGTTGGCCGGCTTGGTCAATGACTGGATTGATCTTGGTCCTGACTTACGCTACCAAGAGTGCAATTCATCCGTCTTTGCCCTTACCCGTGGATCACTCGCCATGGAAGACCTGACGCAATGCTACGAGCGGACCGTGTGGATGATCAATGCCAGCTTTCTTTCTAAAGAGCGACACACGGGATGCGTATTTATCCTCTCGGCCTGTATATGGTCGCTCTGTGCCCATCGCCATGATGTGTGGCGTTACTACTCCCTGGCTTACGATACCTGCTCGGCTTTGCAGTCACTAGATCTTTACAAGATTGCTGAACTCGCGGACTGCTACAGTTCGGATTTTACACCAATGGAGTGCCCCGACGCTAAGATGATTGCTGTTCCCCGTGGAACTTATTCTTATCAAGTCCGCATCAATGACACCGAACACAGAGGCTCAATCTTGCTCCACACAACAGTATGCGAAGCAGTCAAATCCGGACTGCTCCCAGCATCCGTAGTTAATTACCAAATCATCGTTCCACTTCTCCTTCGCACTGGGCGGATAGACGAATCCACCTTCCTAAGCTATATGGACCAGCATTATTGTACCCACTGTGCTGAGGTCATGCAATCTGGACATGAAGATGGTTTCAGCTATGCGTATTCACGTGCAGTCGCTGCTTTGGTCATGGAAGAATGGTGGTCAGGACTCTACTTTGCTGTTGGTATTGGTAGCCTCATTGAAGCTCAACCAGACCAGATCGCTAATGACCGTTGATTTTCACGGCCCTGACGTTTGAAATCTTGTTCAGGCTGCCCAGTAGCTTGGATAGCGTAAATGAAACAATATCTCTAGATTGTGTCGATATTATTTAGCTACGAATTAGAATTGATTGGGAAATTTATCATATTTGGAAAACCGTCCGTTTCATAGCCAGTGAAGTAATGACTGATGAATGAAGCCTAGTGAGCGCGTTAGATTATTTGGAAATGGATGAGAGAATTAAAGAAAACAAAAAGGCAAACAAAATAAGAAGAAATTCAAGAAACGGACCTTAAAAAGATACAAACGACGCGTAGGTTTTGTAGAAAATGGTACACCGGTACAAGATACTTTTGTATATTTTTCTTCACTTGATTACTGGGCCATCTTTCCAAGCAAAACACAAATTGCTATGACGCATTAAACATTGGATTGCCGATTATTTCTGAAGACGGGAATGGATGAATGTATGGCATCAATCGTGTAGTCAGTCGAACTCACACAAAATATGTAAGCGAAGAAATGAGGGGGTAAGAGGCACAAGACGCACGCACGTCGTCCACACTCAACACAGGGTTTTATCAATGATTCATAGAGTTAACCAAGGACTAAAAAGACTAACTGTATGCAAGGAGAGTTCTCGAAACTAAAACAATGAATAATCTTATGAATCTAATCGCATACGAGCTTAGTAAAGTAGAAATGGAATTTCACGAACCCCACCCACCCATTCTTCACCCACGAGCAAAAATTCTCCTCCACAACCAACCCAACCTTACCTTGGTACCTGCCACCTCTCCAAAAATAAAATTTTCAAAAGAAGATTAAATCATGAGATCCAATGAATTCTCAAACAGAACTCTCTGACGGGGAGTCGAACCCCGGTCTCCCGCGCATTGCCAGATGAGTGACAAGCGGAAATCATGACCGTTAGACCATCAAAGATGTTGATTGTTATTTGTTATGTTCGAGGAGCTTTGATTCACACTATGTATCTGTGTTTTGTGGCGTAAGCGCACGGACGGTATTGTGGGGTATGGCATCATTTTTTTTCCTTGGCTGATACTCGAGTAGTGGACATATCTATGTTTCATGATTATGATATTATTTACGATTAGACTACACTTTTGTGGAAATGGATTGGATGAAAACAACGACAAGAAGCGTAGGGAGGACGATAAACAAGAATTAACGGCAGAAGGGCACGAACGTCATCAAACTGTCTAATCTTGAGGCTACGACCCCGTTTGAAAGTCCGTGATCTTGACCATGGCCAATTTGTTTAATAGCTATACACTGTAGGTATCAAAGGTGAGGGATTAGATTGAACAAACAGAAGCTCCTTGTCTAAAATCAAGAATATGGGAATGCGGGGTAGTCGAAGTTAGAACTGCTTAAGCAAGCTTCCAGCCTTGATCTTTCGAGTAGCGTAGCTAGCTAAATGGCGAAAATTGTAACAATACTATTTGGTTTTCTTTTGTATGATACTTGGAGTATAATGCAACAAACATGACTAAATCCTCTAAATTGCTTTCCCCTCCTCTATGGGGAAAGAGGACTACACCCATCAAGGTCAAAGACTCATCTGGTGGTTGATGATTAGGAATAAGGAATGGATGGATGGCTAAGCCGTACCAAACTCGGCTCAAGTAGGGTTAATGTACAACATCGATCCAAATATTCAGAAATTAACCTGCTGTACTTGATTCAATATGCCGGCACGACTTCCGTCAACTTCTCGGCACTCGTCGTAAACTCAACTCCCCTAGAAACTCTAAAGCCAAGAGCCAAGATCTGGGGACATGGTTTCTCCTCCCTTCCAAGCAAGAATTTCTTCGATCCGAAGCTTGACTGGATATAAGCATCTACCCGAACCGGCCCACACAGATTCAGATGTCCCTTCCAGCAACGGGCTCACTGCAAATTCGGACGAACTGGTGGAAGTGAAGGGGAGTTTGAAGGGCATACTTCGGGACCGAGACTTGAAGTTCCATCCGATGAACAAGAAGATTTGCTGTGGAGCATTAACTCCGCCACGTATTTCGGCGCCGAACCCTTGGAATTTGCTTTAAACCCTTAACTCCATCTACTGTCGGGAGCCAACTCTCGAAATTTTATTGCTTGGCCCCACCCATTCTGAAAGGTAGCTGCATCGCTCCAATCAGCCTTCTGCTTTTATGACAAAGACCAAAACCCGCGGTGAGTTTTCAACCTATCAACGCAACAGTGGCATTCACACAGCGGGGTCCGAAAAAAGGAACTCTTGATCAAATAGGTATAAAAAGAAAATGAAGAAAAAGCGTCGCCGGGCGTAAGAAGGACTTTGTATTGACAACAGTGCCCGTTTCATTGAAGATCGGTGAATAGTAGAGAGCGAGGCCCGATCATAGCGCCGCCTTGTGGGTGACATAATAACTGGAGAATCCTTCCTCATCCACCAATCAGAAGTTTCTGCAACAGCGAAAGGATCTGGAATCGATGACGCAGATCCACCCACGAGGTTTAAAGTTTTAAGGTAGAGGGAGTCTGAGGGACATGGAAGGAAGTAAGTATCCTACCGTTTAAGTGGTTCTGATGCTGAGCTTCAGAAGGTGCTAACGATATGTGAATTGGCTTGAATCTCATAGGTAGCTACTTATAAATTATTATATATTAAACTGTTTATCCCACAAATTAATGATCAATTCCCCATTCTCCATATGCGGCGTGACTGTTTAGGTACTAGATGGCAATCAATTAATATATAGGAACAGCAAACAGCAAACTGCAATCAAGTATCCCATTTCCATCTCCTCTTTCTCGCATGTCCGAAGATTTGAATATATAGCAGATTTTGAGAGCGTATATCAGATTATCACATTGGTAACAGGATATTGAATGGGATAAGACCAATAGAAGATTGCAAAGGTACCCGAGTAACAGTACCACTTGAGACAGTGTCAAAATGGCAGGGGCACCAGGTGCTACCTCAGAAGAGACAAACGGGGTCAGTACCACGGTTGCACCGCAACAAATCGCTACAAAATCAACCTCACTCCATCCTACCTCGCCCAATGCCCTCGCATCCACGTTCGCCACCCCAGGACATAGCGAAAAGAACATCATCGAATCCGAAAACCATCTCACGAATGAAAGTAGCATCGACCTACCCAAAAGCAAAGACCCGTCCTCATCCGAAGATGTCACCACAAATCTCAATACAGCGGCTCCTCCAGGGCCCTCACCGCAAGATCCAGAGGCTTCGCGCACCAAATTGGAGACGACTATTATTATGATGTCGCTTTGCGCCGCGGTATTCCTAGCCGCTCTCGATGTCTCGATTATCACTACAGCTCTCCCTACCATTTCCGAACATTTTCACTCGAATGCTGGATACACTTGGATAGGATCAGCCTACCTACTTGCCAACGCTGCTAGTACTCCCTGCTGGGGAAAATTCTCAGATATATGGGGACGGAAACCAATCTTGTTGATTGCAACGGGGGTATTTTTCGTAGGGAGTTTATTGGCAGCATTGAGTGTTAGTATTGGGATGTTAATTGTGGCAAGAGCGATACAGGGAATTGGCGGTGGAGGAGTGATTATTTTGGTTAATATTTGTGTTAGCGATTTGTTCAGTATGAGAAAGAGGGGAGCATATTTTGGATTGATTGGTATGACTTGGGCTTTTGCTAGTGCCATTGGTCCTTTGTTGGGAGGTGCATTCACTCAAAAGGTTAGCTGGAGATGGTGTTTTTATATCAATGTAAGTTTCTGTCGAGTCTTTATGGTTTCTCCATTCATTCTACTTCGCCAAATTTCGGAAATGTAAATACTAATCAAGGATGAACAGTTACCAGTTACCGGAACAGTTGCAATAGCACTATTTTTCTTCCTTCATCTCGACAATCCAAAAACTCCAATATGGGATGGCTTAAAGGCGGTGGACTGGCTTGGAAGTTTACTGATCATTGGTGGTACACTCATGGTTCTTCTCGGACTCGAATTTGGAGGCGTCACAAAGCCATGGAATTCGGCTACCGTCATCTGTCTCATAATTTTTGGAATCCTCGTTGCAGGAATATTTGTGATCAACGAATGGAAATTCGCTCGATATCCACTCATGCCTCTTCGTCTGTTTAAACATCCTTCTAATGTTGCAGCTTTGGGAGTTTGTTTCTGTCATGGATTCGTCTTCATTTCAGCTTCTTATTACCTTCCGCTTTATTTTCAAGCAGTTCTTGGAGCTACTCCTCTACTTTCCGGTGTTTATCTACTACCATTCGCTCTTTCATTGTCTTTGACATCGGCGGGAACAGGTGTATTTATTAAGAAAACCGGTAAATACCTTCCACCTATTTATTTTGGTCTCACGGTTATGACTCTTGGATTCGGTCTATTTATTAATATGCCACGTACCGAGAATTGGTCTAAGATCATCATATATCAAATCGTTGCTGGTATTGGTGTCGGACCAAACTTCCAATCTCCACTTATTGCCCTACAAAGCTTGGTTAAGAGAGCAGATATTGCAACAGCAACCGCCACTTTTGGATTCACGAGGAATTTGAGCACAAGTATTAGTGTAGTGGTAGGAAGTGTGGTATTTCAGAATGAAATGCAAAAGAGAAGTGCGGAATTGGCTACGGCTCTAGGAAGTAGTGTTGCCTCAGAATTGAGTGGTGGAAGTGCGGGTGCTAGTGTGGATATCGTTAAAGGATTACCTGCTCCTGGAAGAGAAGTTGCTAGAAATGCGTATTGGGAAAGTTTAAGAATTATGGTAAGTTTGTTTTCGATGGCGCATCTATAAGTCTGTCTTTTTGAAGAACAAGAAAGCTAATATGGAACATAGTGGATTATATACGTAGCATTTGCAGCATTGGGCTTAGCAATTAGTTTTGCTGTAGGTCAACATGTACTCAGTAAAGAACATGAAGTTACGAAAGTAGGATTGGAAGAACAAGAGAGATTAAGGTTAGAAGCTAAGCAGGCGAAGAAAGCGAAGGATGTAGAAGCTGGAGGACGAATTATGCAAGGAAATCCAGAGGGAGAGAAAGGTCTTAATTGAGATGGAGAAAATCGCATGGGGTTGAGGAATGGGAAAGCTGAAAAGTTTGTCGTTTATTGCATAGCGTGCGTGGATCTGCGTTTGCATTGCATTTTAGAGATGGATTTTGCATAGTATGGTGGGTGGTGGGTGATGGGTGATGGTTTGCATTATATACCCTCATGATTCATGCTGTTGCATCTTTGGTTTGTTGATTTGGATGGTTGATGTTTATTGGATGATGAAGATGGGTGATGGATGATGGAATCATGAATAATTTTTAAGTAATAAAGAATGGAAATGGAAATGGAAATGGAAATGGAAATGGAAGATACAAATATATACGAGATTCTTGAAGATATGCTCGTATGTAATGAGATTTTAGTTTGGATTTTTTTTCCGTTTTTTCTTCCTTTCCTCTTTTGATTGTTAATTTGTTATTGATTTATTGATTAAATTTATGACTGGATGTATATATCTTTGGCGGTGTGAGGGAGTGAGGATAGAATTTAGAAAGAGATGGGAAAGTTGGGAGGAAGAGAAGAGCTGGGAGTGGAGTGGAAGAAAGATGATGAGAGGATGGATGGAAGGGATGGATGGGATCAAAGAGGAAAGATCTGAGGGAAAAAGGAAGAGTTGATGTGGTGAGATGAGGATGAGATGAAGATGAGGATGAAAATAAGAATTAAAGAGAGAGATATATATATGTGTGTGTGTATGTGTATATATGTGTGTGTATAATTTAGAGCTGATGGGTGAGGGGTAAGAGATGAGAGATAATATAATAAATGCATCATTAACATTCTGAATAGTTATATTATAAATCTAAGGCCGCATCTGTATCACTCTCAAGACTAATAAGAATCTTCAGAAACTGACATGCCTCATAATCTCATAGATATTTCTTATAAAAACAATTCAAATTCTATGTATATGAATATCACTTAATATCTCTTGATAGAATGTCACAGCAGGGGCATAAGATTATCCAAAAAAAATATATATATATAATAAATACGAGTATACTTTCTCCCACTCGTTGAATTAATAAATTTAAGTCTGTAAACTTTTACAGATTTATATAAAGATATTGATGACAATGAATTGATTGTTGAGACTTTGATATATAACAATTTGAGAATATTAAAGACAAATATAAAGTAATTATCTAAAGAAACGATTGTCAAAATAAGAGATACTGAAGAGAGCGGGGCAGCGGCGCAGAATCAAATTTATTCCCTATTCTTCTGTAGGAAGTTTGGAATTTAAAATCTGTAGTCATTGAGTAATTATAAAGTAGAATTTAGTCGAGTAATTAATTCTAAACTCACATTGCCGTCTTTAAAAATAAAAATGAAGTTTCAAGTTATTGGTGTTATTGTAAGCTTGAATTAACTTAGGATATATATATAAAGAAATGCCAAGATACATTATACATATCACAAGTAACAAAAGGGTTTGGCATGTTGCCAGAGTGGTTAATGGGTAAGACTTGAATGAATAATTCGGTTATCTTATGGTTTCGGCCTCGTAGGTTCAAATCCTGCACATGTCGTGGTGTAGCATTTTGTAGTTTTGTATTTTTGGTTCTGTGACGGTATCGAACCAAGTTTTAGATTCGCATATTGTCGGTATAGATAGATAGATCATTTATCGAACCAAGCCCCCTCCCTCATCTATCTATTCATCCGTCCAGCAAATAATTAAATGATTTGGAAGATGGGATTTTTCTAAATTGATCATTTTTCGAGGAGTTCGTGACAGCAGCAGCAAGTGGATTTCTATGAGGCTGTGATGGATTCCTGCATGCGAGACCCGCATATTATAGTGGAGTTTGTGGGTGCATTGGTGTGTGTGGTGGTGGGTAGGTGAGTGCTTAACACCGTTGTGGGAAAAGTTAAACACCGAAATATTAAGTACTAATTGGATTTTACCTACCAATCAATATTTTGATATTGCCATCTTGACGCGGGCGTTAATGTTTTGGTGGAAATGTTGTTGCTTCAGTTGATCATGCTCTGGCTGATGATGGTTTAGTTCGTTTATTTCCTGCTTGGGAAGTTATACAAAACAAAGGCGGATGAATAAATAGATGGATGGAATTCGATTTGTGCCAGCGCAGAGTAGGAATTCAACTGAGCAATGACATAACTAGGTACCGGTCGTTCTAGATTGATATTACAGATTGCTTTTATTGCTTCATGATATCATATTGTTCACGGATGGCGGTGTTAGTTGCTGGCTGCTTGTGAGAAGTCCGAAGTGTTGCATCGCATGTTTTAATCACTTGTTACATACATCCTCTCTTATTTTGTCCATGAGTGCAGAGAAGAGACAGAGAATATTCTATGATGTATGTGTTGTATCGGATTAAGCAAATCTAGCATTTATAAGTTAATTTCCAATGTATTACTCGAGTAGACAAAAACATAGGGAACATCCCATGATGTATGTGCCACACATAGTGTTGGAAATGTTCATTAGTACTGGAAACTCAATGCGATGACCCGGTCGAACGAAGTCTTAACATACATGATGCAAATACCTACCTAATGTATATATATAAATAACCCTTATAATCCATATATATCTCTACCATAGGCTCCCAAGATTCGATAAAGTCCGGCCATTTTATTGCGCCAGCGAGTATAAAATACTTGGAGGAATATGTATAGAAAGACAGAGGGACAGACAAACAGGTACATTTGCGCAATGAATGACTTCCCAGCAACATCACTCATCACTTATAATAAATAGTATAATAGTAGAATGAAAAGCCTTGGAATATTACCATGTACAGGATGAATATATATCTTGTCAGAGTGAATACAATTTTCAATTAAATTTGCAATTACTGTATATATGTAAATGATGTACAGAGTAAGAGTTTTTTATATGTATTTATCTTAACAAATTGATACAGTACTGAGGTTATGAACTTTGAACGCGATAGGCATTGCTGATAACCTTGATTCATCGGCTTTCGCGAACTTCGACTTTTTGATCTGTCTAAACAAAACAATCGAGTCCACCAACATTTCCTCGCCCTCCCCTCCCCTCCCCTCACCTCACCACAACCCCTCGACGACCGTCTTCTAATCGACCACATACCCATCACCTTTAACAATCATCATCATGGCTGATACCGAAATGGATGTCGATGCGCCTTCATCACCACAAGAGCAACGAAATGAACGAAATGAATCAAAGAATGCCTCAATGACAACTCACTCCAATGCGACAGCTGTACGATCTATCGAAGGCTGGATTATCATCGTCACCAATGTACATGAAGAAGCTAGCGAGGAGGATTTGAATGACAAATTCGCAGACTTTGGAGAGATCAAAAATCTTCATTTGAACCTGGATAGAAGAACTGGATACGTCAAGGTGAGTTTCGCTCATGCAATGCAATTCAATTAATTACATTTCCCATGGAAGCTTTTCGATCACTCTGGGCATTTTATCGCATGGAGGATTTGTAAGATAGATTTAGACGGCTAACTCAAAGCATCTGCAAAAATAGGGTTACGCACTGATTGAATATCCAACTTTGGAAGAGGCAAGGGCAGCGATCGATGGTGCGCATAATACCAAGTTGCTGGAACAAACTGTGGAGGTAGACTTTGCATTTGTTAGACCGCCACCAGGAGGAAAAGGTCGAGGAGGTCGGGCACCTGCCAAAGGTAGAGCCAGAAGCCGATCCCGTAGTCCCAATGGTAGAGATGGAGGCGATTGAATGAGTGCATTGAATGAGTGCAGGTGACGATAACTGTGCCACGTTAAGGGTTAATGATTCCTAATCACACAATCATACAATCATACAAACAAGGAGCGGTGGAAGAAATCTGGGGAAGTTGCAGGGGAAAATGGAAAATGGAAGGATTTGAGAAAAGTTTACTACTTTCATTACTTTCGTTACTACCTACTTTACTAAAAGCCGATATGTTTTTAATGGAGAAGACATATCGGCGTATATCCAAACCATTACGATGGTAAGTCATGCCATGTCATCTCTCCATCTATCCATCTAATTGCCTTGAATTATTGGAAAGAATGTTACTGATGATCTATATTTAGCAATTGAGATACCAAACACTTAACTTACTATTGAAACTTTCTGTTTGATATTCTTCCAGCTTGACGAATTTGAGACTTGATTGTTACATCTCCGAAGTTTTCATCTAATTTGTTAGACATCGCCGAGATGCAACATTTCTTCAAATTCCTCCAATGCAAACAAAGCATTCTTTTACAAAAACAGTTGTCTTCGCAGAAATTAGAGGACCCTACTCACATCTCTCCAAGAACTCAGTGGACCCTACATTCAGAAAGAAAGAAAAACTTACTTGCCGACCTGAATAACCTTGTACTGCGGGCTGACATAGAATGATGTGAGCGAACCTCCCCCTGGCGCTACATATATAACCTTGACATTTTACCAACGATTTTGGGTTCTTCGACAGACAAGAGACAAGGCCTTATCCGGAATTCCCATCATACCCTGACACCCACCACCTATCTTCTAGAGATCCTTGAATCCTTGAATCCTTGAATCCTAGAGTCATATGCACGCATATCTGTCAATCTAACAGCAACTCTCCGACAACTTTTTAAACAAAGCTTGGTTTACTATATATGTACCTGTGTCACCAGACCTTGAATCCTCATACTACTTCATTTTGTACATTTTACACATTTACACCGCTACACACATAGAATATCTCAGAAATATCCTCATACATATTTAATACTTTCAGCACACCATTGTATATTCTCTTACATCCTCAACAACTCATACCTTTATCACCTCGGTGAATTAATAACACAATGGCTCGTACATTTTTAGAAACTCTCCCAAGAGAGATTCGCGATCAAATATATGGTTACGTTCTATCATCACATTCAAGGAGTGTATATCTATCCGAAAGTGTCATCAATGACCCCGATTACCCCCAAGAAGAATACTCAGCAGCTGGAAAACCTCCATATATCATTCGAACTAAATCCCATGGCGAAACCATACGCCTTTCCTTTTTACGAACTTGTCGACAAATCTATCATGAAGCTAAAGTTGTTTTCTGGGAGCAGAATTCACTTATCCTTGATGGCATCCTACCTCGAACATACATCGACCATCCCATATTAGGCAGACTACCAGGTTCGATAGCCTCAATGGCTACTTCTGTCGAACTCAAGATAGATATATTAGGTCGTTCAGCTTTCCGTAGAAAGTCTGATTTGTGCGAGGATAGTCCCTCTCTTGTTCCATTCGAATATCAATTGAAGGATCTTGCGCGATGGCCAAATTTAAAGAGAATAAAGTTACATATGAGTCTTGGAGAAGACCCATGGGGCAATTATGATGGATACGGTCACAGTGGATTCGCAAGATTACTCTACTGGAGACTCCGAGGTGGATCAAACGATCATTGGCATAACTTGGTCCGATCAAATATCAAAGCGTTAGAAGAAGCCGGTGGAAAAGATGGCTATCTATCTCATGTCAAGAAAGAGTTGGACATCAACACCGGTTGCGCACTTCCCAATGGCAATGGATTTCCTCAACGGATGTTAAAGATGAGTACTGGATCTCCAGGTGAAATTTTACAAGAGTTAAGTGAGGCATGGTTTGGTAATCTATTTGTCGATGGTAGATTATCTTACCTCGAGGGTGAAGAGAAGGAAGATATGTTCGTTCAACAACCTACACCACGTCTACCCATGCTCGACCATTTCTTCTTTTTCAAATACGACATTGATCGTTGGGTGGATGGACAATCGGGTGTAAGGTTATGGGGAAAAGCGAAACAGATTTGGCCAGCAGGGAATGAGGGTAAACAAGCAAGAAGAGATGCTTGGGAGGATTCAGGTAGAATGGGTTGTTCTTTTGATGTTATGCGGGAAATTCATTGGCCTTGGAAACAAATGTCACCTCCTGACTTTGTTCCGTAGGTTTTTTCTGGGGGGGGTTTTTTTTTCATTTTCCCAATTGTTACGATTACATGTATTACGAATTTTCTTTATCTTTGTATCATCATCATTTATCAGTTATTATGGAATATATCAGCTAGCTAGGCGTTGTGGAATTTTGCTTTTGTTACTTTTACGAATATATACAAATTTACATCTACATCTTCGCCATAACATGTTCTATGCTATTCACTACAAAATCTCGCGACGGTAAGTTAGTAGTCTCCCCCAAAGAAAAAGAAAACCCGGACAACACCCATGATCCCATCCCATCCCAATCCAGCAGGCAGGCAGGCAGGCAGGCAGCGCAAATAATCCACGTTCATACATAGATCCATACATGGATAAAAGCTGCCGTCAGCGAGCGCTAACCTTGCACTATCGAATTTCGAATGCGGGGTAATGGAGAGGGATACTGTAGGTAGGTAGACTAGGAATACTAGGTAGAATAGGTAGAATAGGTAGACTAGGTAGGTAGACTTGCTATTTACTACCTACTAAATTAAGGATAATTAGAAAAAAGTTCCCCTTGAGGGTTGTGGGTTGGGGGTTGTGAGTTGGGGATCAAGGATGAATGATGAATGATGAATGATGAATGATGAATGGGTGGTGAGAGCTAAGCTGAGGAATGGTGAGGAATGAATGGTGAGGATGAATGGATGAATGGATGATTGGGAAGGGAGGGTTGGGGACCCGAGTCGAGTCGATGGAATTTTTGTGTGCGGTGGTGGATTTTGTGGATGGTGGCGCTGTGAGGGGGATGAGATATTTTAGGCGGGATGTGGGATGGTTTTGTGGTTGTGTTTGTGTTTGTGGTGTTGATGAGATGAGGTGGGATGGGATGGGATGGGATGGGATGGATGGGGTGGATGGGGTGGACGGGATACTTGATTATTTATCTTGGGGTTTCGGTTTACAGAAAGGTAGGATTTATAGTTATAGTTATAGTTGTAGTTATAGCTAGTATATTTATTAGGGTTAGGGTAAGCTGGTGGATTGGATTGGATTGGATTGGATTGGATTATATGAATGATGCTTCTGCGGGTGAGAATAAGAAGAAAAAAAAAAAGAGTAGAGTGGAAAATAAGAATAAGATATGGATATAGATTCCTGCGTTTAGAATTGCAGACTTGGGATATACACTAAGGTTACCTACTTGGGAGGAATAAAGCTAAGAATATAGATAGATAGATAGATGTAGCGAGAAACCTAAGGATTGGAATGGAATTAAAACGTGGGATTTTGGGACAGAGGGACAGAAGATGAGTTGAGATGAATGAGAGGGGGATATGTGTGTATGTATGTATGTATGTATGTATGTATGTATATTCTTTCTTCCCTATTGATATGTGATGTACAATTTAAAGAGAATCGACGGGTATGAAATGCAATCTTTGAGAATAGATAGATGGGTAAGATTAGGATATGTTCTGCATTCTTACATGTTCGGCAACATATCGACTCAAAACCGCGATTAATGTTCCATCCCAGCCGGACAGAGCAGTGGCAGTCAGTCAGTCAGTCAGTCCTCTGGATTCACTTGTGGTGCATTTCGTTGCTCGGGGAGCTGGTGAGCCATGCTTTTAGATTGATCTGGATAAGGATAAGATAGGATAAGGATAGGATAAGGATAAGGATAAGGATAAGGTTAAGGTTAAGGTTAAGGATAAGGATAAATGATATATTCGAAATAAGACTTAATCAACTAACTTTAATCCAGACTTATCAAAATCCGGTACCAGTCTATTTCTTTCCCCAATGAACACCCCGTTGTACATGCATGGATGCATATACGTACTACTTATAAGTAAGTTATTCCCACATGAATATAAATATATATATAAACATCCTCTGCTCCAAACACAAAATAAAAATCCCTATCGCAAGATTAATTATCTAATAAATTGCAAAATTCTCGATCGATAGATCCTTGATTTTGCGGGATTGGAATTGAAATGTATTGATGCATCGCGGGGGGAATGATTTGTTGATTTTGATTTTGATTTAGATTTTGGGACTACACACTCGGCTCGGAACATCCAAGAAATTTTTTGGACCCGAGTTCTTACTTACGGCTTCGGATAATTTTCCACAACGCGAAAGCATGATCTTCATCTAGGGTCCGGGGGAAAAAATGCAGCAAAAGACATGGATAGATGAAATATCCTTACTACTTACGTAGTGAGTATGCATTAATGATTTTGGTACAAAAATATTATATATAAAAAAACCCCGGGATATGTAGTTTCAGCGGGGAATTTCATGGATAGGAAGGTTATCGGAAGAGGGGAATGTACGAGATAGGTTCGGCAGGGACTAGGATTTGAGTCCCGGTAACGAGGGGTTTACTCTCCGTATGCACTCAGGGTTCGGCTTTGAGGGGGCCGCACGAACTGCTCAGGGCTGGGATTTGGTGCGTGGTGTGTTGTGTGTTGTGTATTGTGTATTGTGTACCCTGTGTGTGGGGGTTGCTGAACTCGGTGTAACTACGTTTGTGTATGATATGTGTATGTGTATGTGTAGTTGTACTTGTTGTGGGATTGGTCCGTGAGGGATAGACTGGAGGAGGATGGTGAGATGGTTGGTATAGGGAATGAGGAAGGAATGGGGTCAGCTTGAGCTTGAGCTTGAGCTTGAGCTTGAGCTTGTTTTACTTTTGTGCTACGTTTGGTGGTGGAGGTTGCACGGGTGAGGTAAGGGGCCTGATTTGACGGGTGGGGTGGATAGCTGGGAGGGGGGTATGGATGTGAATGGTGATGGGCTGAGTAGAACGGCCTCGCCGTCAGTTTCTAGATTCATCTTTGATAACCTACCTGATGTAGGGTCTTGATGAAGTTTTAGGGATTAGGATTACCCGAGACATCGGGACGGCTTTGAGTTTGCGGAATATCGTGGCTGGCTTGGAAGGTTTGCGTGGAGAATATCAATATCGGCTAGTTAGGTTAACGTTCTAGCCTCTAGGTCAAACATTGAGCCGCACGGAATATTGTCTACCTTCCGACCCAACCCATCAAAACTTATGTCAGCTTATTTGGTCACCTTTTGAGGTTATGAACCGAGATGATTTATATGGGGATATTGGTTCGCGCTACCGAGGTAGTGTATGGATGGATATTACTAGTGAGTGATGTGGATACAGCTGCACATTGAGCCGGAGGATTCTTAAGAACGGTTATTAGTGAATCAGCGATGATAATTCCAAGATAAGAATGAAAAGACGCAATATGACATCAAGTTACCACGACCATCGAACCTTAACAGCTACGATCGAAAATTCAACGGTAATGTCATCGTGGGAGCTGCATGATCGTTATCTGATACATTGGAAATGACCTCGTATTACTTCGGCAGATGCTTTGAAACGCATCTAGTCGTAATACAAACTCTTATCTCTCTCTACTAAGGACTATCCTCTGTATGACTACATTCAATCCTTCACCCACTCTTCAATCTTTACTCGCATCATCGACGATGAAATCCGCACATCTTTCCGCGGCCATCACAGCAGGAGCCATAGGATGATGACTCACAATCCTAGGAAAAACACTCGTATCGGCGATCCTAACACCCCTCACCCCACGAACACGTAATACAACCCCCGGGGCCTCTTCATGGCTCTCAGAACCCATCCGACATGTCGATGAATAGTGAAAAGTATTTCGGATCTGATGACGTATGAATTGATTCATTTGTTCTTGATTTCCATTCTCGATATCGAGATTCTGGTTTCCGGACAGGAAGGTTATGGGACGGAGGAGGGGGAATCCGGAGGAAAGCATGGTTTTGCCGAATGAGAGGGCGAGGTGGACGGCGCGTTGCGCAGTTATTAGGTCCGTTGGGTGGGATAATATTCCGAAATCGACGGCGCGGAAGGAATGAGGGGGATGAGGATGTCAGACGAACGCTACCGCGGGATTGAGGATTGCAGATTGTGGCGAGGATGCAGAAGATCCCTATTTTGGAGAAGCTAGATTGGTTTTCTTCCATGTCGTCCATGGCACTTGTGGGTAGAGGCATAAGTTCGATGTCTGGAATTAAATCTTCAGATTTTGTGGAATGTAGATTTTCACTTTTGATTGTTGCTGACTCAGGTGTATCTGCGGATGGACAATGTTCGATGAGTGGTCCAGTAGAATCTTCATTGAGATATTTGGATCGGATGGAGAAGCTTAGTGTTTGAGATGGAAAACTCATGACGCCGGTTCCGAAGAGAAGATACTTGCAGAGTTCAACAGCGGCTTTTAAGGGAGATACAACAACTCGAGTGATTGACTCTTCGATTGGTACTTCCCATGCAACAGGTATACTTGGCTGATCCGTCTAATATCTTCGATTAGTAAGAGTTCAATCGTCTATTTCAAGGGGTGAAACTTACTAAATTGGAGCCAACACCAGATAAATCATTTCATGTATGACTTTAATATTGTGTTCTTCCAGATGTTCACGAGGACCAGTACCGCTGATTTCAATTGTTAGAATTCCTCATTTAAATTCTGAAATACAAAGTTCGCATACCTTAACATTAAAACTTGAGGTGAACCCAGTGCACCAGAGCAAATGATAACCTCCTTCTTCACTTTAGCCTCAAAGATCCTCGAAGATTTCAGACCAGAACTTCCAAAAATAACTTTATCAACGCGAGGAACTCCATTTTCATCTGAAAACACAATTCGATGAACCGTGGTATTAGTACAGATAGTCAAATTATTTTCTCTCTTCAATATTTAATATAATAATATTAAACTGAATAAGCTTTGATATTGTTTTATAAAGAAAGGGTTTTGATAAAGTTTTATAAGTTAATAGAGAACAGAATGTCAGTTATAAACTTTCATTTGGAAAAGAAATTATGTTCTTTAGTTATAATAACCCACAATTTATATCCCTGGAGTAAACCATAAAAATTACTCCTTTATGATAGTTTACATTTTGGAGTGTTTTTTTCGTGTACTATTGCAAGTACAAAGCCTATGTTGGTAAGTAAACTAGAGATTAGACAGTCAACTCATGAGATGATTCAAAGTACACACTTACAGTGTATGTAGTTCGAAAATCAATCTCCAAGTCTGCCATTTCAAAGAGACTCTCCAGCCCTTGGTTTTCTTGGCTGCCTTGGCCAAAAGTGTACTTATACTCCTATATAAACAATCATTAGCTCTTGCTTATTATTGTATAACGTTAAGAACATACGATTCATACAAATGATCAACTCTGGTTTAAACTGATTAGTAACATTTTACATTTGATTGAATTATAGAATTAGTACATACCTCTTGACCAAATGCTCGAGATGTCTATTCGATTAACACAAAAACTTGCAGAAGGGTCTGCTCGTTTCGATGCTAATAAATCATTAGTGTTTGACTCTCCACGGTACATAGGATATGAGACTTACGAATCCAGCAACGCATCTTCTTTTGTGATCCTATAATCCCTCTTCTTAGCTTTGTTATCCAATTGAATTGGAGTCCACGTAAAGCTCTGGGGCTGGTCAAAGTCGCGTTTTCTTCTCTTTTGGCTATTTATATATGTTAGCAAACAGTAAAGGTGAGCCCATGTAGGAGGACCCAGGAAAATGATCACCACATACTGAACGATATTTCCATGTAAATGAAGAAGAAGAAAATGGAAATCACACACCTTCCGTATATTACACAAGAGTTCAGCTACATCTTGTAGTAAAAACATCTGAAATGGGTTATGATTGAAAGATTTTGAGGTTGCGCGTTTTATTCTAAACTAAGTTGAATCGAAGCTGTTTTGTTGATGATTCTGCATCATGTTACCGCCTTCTTAAATAAGCTGGTAACGCTTGCTAAATCAGCTCTTAATTGATGATTTTAATTCTGGGAAGGAAGCTTCGTACGGCTTGGGGAAGGCACGTGTGGCACGTGATATAGAGATAATTTTATCTATGTCTTCGAATGGGTATGGTTTATGTTATTCGTTTAGAGTCTATAAAGAGGTTGATGGCTGAACGGTAGTGGAGGTAATGTAGTTTACTGTCTAATGTTCATAAATGAAGATGAGTTGTGATAACCTTACGATGAGATAAACTGTGATGTGATAAGCCGAGATATGATGAATGTCTTGCATTTGATTAGGATATTATTGATAAGTCGATTGTGTTGATTTTTCTAGTCTGTATTATGTCCTGAACTTGTCTTTAAATCTGGGCCAAACAATGACTCTTGATGTTCAAATAAAATTCATACAATTAACTAATGAATCCGATGATTTATATATACTTGTATGTTCTAACAATTTCTCAACTATCTTCAAGAATTAAGTCTAGTACTCTCTTTTCGGACCATTTATAATTCATATCATCTTTCTATATCAAAAATCCTTATTTTCGTCTGTTAATAACTTTTTCAATTAATAATACAATTCTTCAAATTTGAATTATTAATTGTAACGTTTCAATACTATTAAACAACGATTGTTTGAAGTTTGTTTAATTGATAATTGTAGATTAAGATTTTATTATTAATATAATAAAGGTCTTTTCCAATCGATAGTTAAATCTCTAATATTTATATTATCACAATTATAAATCTGTAATAATAATAATAAATTTTGAAAATTCTAGATTTTTAATAGTTTTTTCAATAAGATATTAATAATAGAATTTTTGAATTTCAATTTATATAGTATTTATATATAAATTTTCAAAACATGAAAATTTTAAATGAATTTTTAATAAAAATAAATAAAAGTAAATTATAAATCTTTTTAAAATCTTTAAATTATGATTAATTGAATAAACTCATTTATTTAAAAGTAGAATGGATAATTAATATTTTATTTTATATAAAATTTAAAAAAAACTAATTCAATTAATAATAAAATAAAAATTGTAAATTATCTTTTTTAAATAAATTAATTTATTCAATTAATTACAATTTAATGATTTCAAAAAATTCTATTCATAAATAAGAAAATTATAAATATTAATTCTTATCATTTTTGATAAAGAAAAGTAGCTCAAATTAGAGGTGGCCCAAAAAGGAGGTACTAGACTTACTCATATATTTCAAACAATTCCTCAACTATCTTTAAGAATTAGTGATTAGAATTTCCGGATCAAACTTGTATACAGTTATTTCAGCTCTCCTTTTATATAGTGATATGATATCTTTCAGATCCTCTTATGATTCCATATCGAATTTCGCAATATCTCATGCAAAGGTATTCTGTCGCCGATATTTCGGAACTGATCCAAATCTTCCTTTTTCATCTTCCTCGAGCTCGGTTGATCCCATTCCATATCTCCTTACGAATTTCTATTAAAACGTAATGTACCTCTCTCATTGCCGCCGCATATCCGTTCTTGTAATGAACTCCGTTCTCCTCATGAACGGCGAGGATTGTATCTAGGGATAATTTTCCTATTCTCACAATGTGGGATACATCTTTCTGAAAAACCTCTCCCCAGATTTTCTCTCGGACTTTATATTCATGGCTTTTTAATCCTTCTCCCATTTGTATCCTTTTATACTCGAAACGGGCAGCTTTTCTATGAGCCTTAAATAATTCGAATCGAAGAATGCAGAGAGAGACAAAAAGTATGACTTCCCACAGAATTAAACTAACAAGAAGTATGGTTGGTATACAGACTCTCTAACCGTTGGTGGTGGTTACGCAGCAGAGGGTATTGCCTGCACTTGTGTAGTCTAATTTTGAGGAAATGGCGATAGGGAGCGAGGTCGAAGAATTGATGGACGATGATGGCATGTAAGAGGAAAGTGTGAGATCCATAGTTCTGTAAGATATATTAAGTAATTGCTGAGTTTGTGATAGGCAAAATAGGATATATGAAAATTTATACTAAAGGCACGATTGATGTGCAAGGTTTTATGGAAGATGAATTTGAAAAGGACACAATTTTGTGAATAGATTTCAATGTGAAATGTTAGACTTGTTTTGTTCTAGATCAAACATAAATCATTAGTTCATCCTGTAAAGTACTTAAATCTAATACTAAATATTCTAGTATCTCCCGTGATATAATTATAAGTCTAGATGTTTAGATCGATACATGAACAAATTCTCTTTCTAGATCAGAATGAACCACTACATTTAAAAAGAACTACTTTGCCAAGCCACATACTCATACGGCCGGAAAGTACAGAACCCCTTCCTAAACAGGATCATTTTTGATTGAAAGAGGTATAAACCTTATATATCAATATTCAATACAACAAGATTGTGGATTAGATTGTATAAATATGAATATAAATAAGTATTTTACTTATATTTTCCTGGAATTTTCTGAAAATCCTTAAAATAAAAGTAGAATAAATAAGAATAATGAATTTCATTAACCAAATTAGAGTTTATCATACAAATTCAAGCCCGTTTAGGAAGGAGTTCTGTACTTTCTTGCTGCACGAGTAGCTTAGCCTTGTTCGGGCGAAAACTTATTTGACTACAGGTCAGATTGTACTTCAATGCATGGAGAGTGAGCAACTGATCAACATTCTTGCCCTACTATAAGTTTTACTGACTCGTACTTAGTAAATGATGTCATTGATGCAAGTTTTCATTCCTCGTTAAAATCTCGACCGATAACCAACGGACTTATCAAACTGCAGCTTGTATCTGTGCTGGAAGCTGATGTTAATAAAAGGTGTTAAGAAAAGAACTTGAGCATTTTCAAACATTTGCAATACTTTTCAAAATATTACAGTATATTATCGTGTGTTTTCCATCGTCTGTATATCTGTGATGAATGAGAAAATGAAGAAAATGGCATAGACTTCATAGCTGCCTTACCTAGAAATGACAAAAAATTCCTGAAAGCTAGCCTATCATACTCATTTGACTAACATATTACCCTTTTACCATTTAAATACTACGCATAGCTTATTTCACTATAACAAGGCCGGTCTATCAATCGGGGGCTTATTGCCCAAAAATTGAAAGTAAGTATTTAACAAGGGGTTAGCACCTCGGGTTCAGTTGCTCCTCCAACTTTCTTTTACACAAGATACCTCTTGTACTAATATCAACCCTCAAGGCGTATACAAATCGAGGATCTCCTATCTTCTTAATTGGTAACCATCAAGCTCACAATGGGCCGGAGTTAGGTCTCAGCTGATTTGCTCCTCCGCCATCCAAAACAAGTAGACGGGTCATCTTACTTCGAGGAATAGTTACTATTGGAGTATCTAATACTTTGGGATTACCACAACGAATGTAGTCAAACCTCTAGTAAACAACTCATATATAGTTCTGCATACACCATTGTATCGAGAGATTTCTTTAGATTTCAAGTCTCTGAAGATCAGATGCGTATAGATCTAAGCAATCCAATCATCTTGATCCAAAATCCAAATGAATCCTTTATTTTATATTCTGATCACTTTATTATTTCGACTATCTTTTATATTAAAACAATAAATTTAATTTTCTAGCGAAAAGTGACTAGTCAAGTTCAAGTCAAAAGTTATCAAAATTATAATACCAACAATAAGTGTAGAAATTCCGTAAGCACTTTTTCAATCCTCACCAAATTCAAGAAAATATCAACAATTTCAGAAAATGATTATAAATTAAATTTATAATATTTTATAATCATTTCTTAAACAGAGATCGATATATATTCCAAAATGCACATGAAACTTAAAATAGCTGGCAATTTGGCCGAGTGGTTATGGCGCCAGTTTCAGGCTCACCTGATTCGTTAATACTGGTTCGAAAGAGCGTGGGTTCGAATCCCACAATTGTCACATCTAAAGCTTTTGCATCTCGGACTCGAGAGTTTGAGTTTTAGTGATTAGGATGTCTTTTTGAGGCGTCGGGTTTTGTGAGGCGAATGTGGATGAGTTATTAGCGGTTGTGGTTAACTAGTTGTGTGGGGCAGTCAGTGTGTTGGGGTGTCTATTGAGAAATTTTCGGATGTGTTGATATATGGACCCCGCCCCTTTATCAGACCGAGTTCATACATACATACATACATACATACATACATACATACAATATACACCAATCCAATATGGTCCAAAGTGAGTAATGGAGTAGTAAGTAAGTACACTTTTGTTTTCCCCTGTTTCATCAATTTCTATAAGCTGTTCGAACTGTTTCCATTATTACGTTATGATAATTGATTTACAGATCTCCAGTGATTTGAATCATTTTGGTGTCGACCGGTTGCTGCACGTTTGTTACATACTATATATATACTAGTTCTATGTATGATAAGAGAAGATTTAAAGTTACAGTGAACCATTGAAATGATCAAGCCTCAATCAATATCTATCTAGTTCATGTGTCAAGTCTACAACGTTTTAGAACTTTGACGACAATTTCTCCTCAATACTAGCTGGTATCACGACATACACGAGAGGAGGCTTTCGTAGGTGGATGTCAGCTCACCTCGCAATTCTACACATTGATATTCTGCATCTGTACCAATTGATTACTGTTGCGTCGTTCTTATTACTAGTGGCTTTAACATTTTCCAACAATGGCAGCCCCAATCAAGCCTTGCCAATCCATGCGTCAATGTTTGTCTTCGAGAATTGGCTACAAATTATCACCATTAATTTTATATATCAGTGTATTACAGCATTCTTCTAACGTTGGACGAAAACCTCGAATTTGTTATAATTTTGCCAGGCGAAACAATTTAAAGGTCGAAAATAGTAATGGGAAACTTTTAAAGACCTTGCTTCTGCATTTTCAATATCATACTGCAGTTGAGCATCACCATCAATAAAAAGCGGAAATTTTCATTGGCACACAAACTTCTGAGAGCAGCACAAGAGATGAGGGAAAAACCACTCAACATCTTCATGTATGCAATTGCCCCTCATTTGAATACGATCTTATGAGCTTTGTCGGCTTGTTCATAGTGCTGATTCATACCTGGCTGCATGAAGAAGCCAGCAATCTCGAAGCATGAACAAGTAATATCACGATTGTGAGAGCAAATTTGATTGTCTATAGTATCGTATGATTAATTTAAGTCAAATAGAAAATGAGGGGAAGATGAGAAAGATATGGGGTTAAGATCTTGTACTACGGGAAGTACGAGTTGCAATTATTAAAAAATGAGCAAATTACCTCTATTATATGATGTAAGAGACCAGAAGAATGAATTGTAATCCATGGAATGGCTGAAAGGCGAGGATGTTTCCCCTCATCTCCAGGCTGAGGAGCGACTTTCAACATTGGACAATGGGAAATCCTCTATATATACCCCTGGGATTTCTGTCAAAAAATGAACAAAGCTTCGATATCTATTATTATTTATTTTTATATCAATTCAATTTGAATCAATTCCACCGCCAAAGTTCCAATGTCTCTCGAAACCACAGAGCTTGCTTGTACTTCTGCTCCTGATGATATTTTGCATCTCATATTCCAGGAACCCCATCCTGTAACTCTAATCCGTGAAGCGCGATCTCCAGATGGTGGTAGCATTTGGGTTTTTCAAGATTCCATCATCGCCCAAGATGCACAGATCAGTGGTTCTCCGATGACATGCTACTATGTAGACAAAGACCCAGGTTTCCAGAAGGGACCCACAGTACGTTTTGAAGTTTCGATGTTCATTTGTATTAGCTAACAAATCGAAGATTCATGTTCTTTACATGAATGAGGATAGACAACTGATGGAGAAAGTCAAGCATTTAGAGGGGGGAACACCAATTTGGACGGATGTCAAGGTTCCTGACGACATCAAGAAACGTCCAGATCTAATCTCAAGATTGACAGGTGGAGCATTCAACGGGAATAGCGGTTGGAGTGTGAATGGGTCGCAATGGGTTTACTTTACACAGTGAGTTATAATTAATATATATCTTAATTTTGTGAATTTGACTAAATCCAATAAAAGAGGACAAGATGGCCAACTTGGGATTGCTGAAATTCGACGTTCAGGAGGGAAAGATTGGTATTTCCAGAGAATTCTCCATGAGAAACAGGGCGAGCTGCTTCAGGGAACTTCTCTAGCCTGCATGATCTCGGAAAAGAACATCAAAGTGGATCCTCCATTTTCCCCTATGTCCATATCTATTCCTAAATGCACTCACTTACCTACTATTCAGGTATTCTTCCAGCATCATGACGGCAGCATCTGTCTGTATGAGTATAAGGATGGGGATTGGCATGGTAAGAAATGTTTCCGTGCGAAAGTGACAATGATTCTTAAGCTAATTGTTCTACAGATCAAGGCGTCTACGTCAAGAAAGAGGAGGTTCAGCCTCCATATCAAAACCCAACACCACTTGCCTGCACCATGACCAAGAACGGATGTATTCATCTATTCTTTGCTGGCTTTGACAAGAATAACAAGCACAAGATCAGGCACTATAAGGATGGTAAGAAACAGGAAGATGTGACCGACTTCTTCTCAGGCTCGAAATTGGGCTGCACATCAGACAATAATGAGGTTACCTTGTTCTACAGGAAGAAGCAACCTAAGAACGATGTGGGCACAATGGTGTATTCGGACGGGAAATGGAAGGATGGTGCTATTGTTATCCCTGCATGACTTGAGGCAAATTGATGGATGATGAGAAGGATCTTTTTCATATTGATCTTCAGGACTTCTACTCAAAAAAAAAGTTGATTATATTTCCTTTCAAAACGTACCACAGCCAATCTACTTATGTCAAAATCCACACTACTAGCAAGTTTGCTCTCCAGTAATTAGTTATCAGTTATCTTTTGTTTCATTTGCCTGCCCGAGTTATGGATTTTCTTAATGCGGCCGTGAGGTTTCCTCGTAATGGTGCCTTCGGTAACCAAGCCAGAGTAGCTTACCCACCTTGCTTATAAAAGTAACGCTTACCTAAACTTTGCGACTCGATAACAGCACGGAGGAAATGATATTCGTGTAGGGCAGGCTCGTTGGTCCTCGGATATCTGTCGAAAGATCTAACGCTGGAACTATGAACAACCTTGAGGAAACCAAGCTATACGTGCCCCTTCTTTTCGCGGGAATCCTCTCTATAATGAAAAAAAGAAAAGCGTCCAAAACGTGGTACGTCACTTTCTTCCCTTCGTCAATGCTATAAGTAACCTATAAAAAATGTGAGTGAAAGCCTAGCTCGTTCTCTTTCATCAGCCTTACCACGCCGTCATTGGAAGTAATCAGACTTGTTTTTCATGGTTCGAGACCTTACGCCTTTCCTCTACCTCCTCTTTTCAATTCATAAACCCCATTATAAATCAAAGGTCACTTGTTCGTAGACTCCTTCATAGAGTCATTCATCTTGACATATATCCAGTCAAACATCGAATTTAAACTCGAATGTTCATCCCATATATATTCTGTTCACTCTCCACTCAGGGCCTCTAGTAGTTATTGGAAGCACAATTTTGAAGATTAAAGATCTATACTCAAACAGAATGAAAATTTTTTGTATGTGAATTATCAAACTAATAATTTTGATTGTATACTTATTGGCTATGAAATTTCGAACTATCTATCTACAAAATACTAATGAAAAAATCCTTTTATAAAAATATAAACAATCCTATGATCTTTGTATAAACTATTAGATAATATAAAAAAAAATATATATATTATATTTTAGTATTATATAGTATACTCGATGTATAAATAAAAAAGTAAATTAAATTAAAAATTACTTAAATAGAACTTATAGTATAAATAATAATCTCTTTAAAGAAATAATATCATTATTACAAAATATTAATAATAATAAAATACAATATTGATAAAATAAAAAGCTTTATTTCTATTTAATATTTCTTTAACTTCAAATCCGAGTCTTAATATTAATTACTCAAGTTTATAAGAAATATAAGAAGATTCTTGTTTTTGAAAGATATATTATATTTTTGATGACGGTTTTATTTAATTATAAAAAAGACATAGTGTTACGACGGTGTAACATAGCCCGCATCAGGTGACCAATTAGGTAAATAAGATCATGTGATAGGCATCACCTGATCCGAAAGCCGACCGACTTCGTAGGAATCGATCGGCTCTAAAAATCGATCGGCCTTTCAAGAGTCGATCGACTTTCAGATTACAAAGGTCTATATAATCAAGATGGATTCTCTTTGTATAGAGCTTTGTGTTCAAGGTCAATCGTTTAGTATATTCTACACTCAGTTACGAATAGCATATCATTATCATTGTTACTTAAGTCTCTGCTTGACGCCTAGTTATAAACCTACTTCAAGAGCCTAGAGCACTTCCACATGATCTAGACAGCTACCCTCGTAACACATAGATGAGAATTTGTATTAATATATATTTTATCGGTGATGATTTTATAATCTAGGATTTTTTTAGTATTAAAAAGACTTTTATTAAAAATAAATTTCAATTTATTCAAATCATTTAAATAATAATAATAATAATAATAATAATAATTTTTGTATTAAAAATCAAATTATTATTTTATTTATATTTGAATATATATTCAATATTTAAATTTACAATAAAAAAAATTAATTTTATATTTTATATTAAATATTTTTAAAAAGTCAAAGGTTGAAAAGGTACAAATCTTTTATTATTAAAAAAGTAATTAAATATATTAATTTATTGACTGGGAAATATTTATTATAATTATCTTTTGAAAAATATTATAAATCGATATATAAATTTTTTTTTTTATAATTAAATAAATCAATTATAAGTATTAGAACTTAAAAATCATGATATTATCACGATTTATAGTTTAGATTATAATAGTATTATTGATATCGGTGATTCATATACTGTGTTACAAGGTAACAGTCAACCTGTCCACATGAGCTTAGGCCTCATCGAAAAGCAAGGCAATTTGTATACAAATTTGTATGGTAATCGCCTCATGTGGTCTCCCCACCCTCAGCAAGTTCGGACATATAGTCTGATCCTAGAGATCACATGATGGACCCTATATATACAAGGATACGAATCGAAGGTCCATACGAATCGAAGGTCCATACGAATCTACAAGATACGAAGATCTATATAAACCAGAGGGGTTTCCTGTATATAGGAGCTTCGTGCTCAAGATCAATCATTTAGTATAATCTACTATTAGTTACGAATTGCAACCATTGATATTATTTAAAGCCCTTGCTTGACGCCTAGTTATAAACCCTTCGAGGATCCAGGCCACTTCCACGTGATCTAGATCGCATCCCTCGTAACATACTGGTTATAGAGGGGGTGTAATTTAACCGTTGCTTTCAGAGGGCCTAATCATTTACAAATAGAACCTCAGGATTTCTAGGATAAGTATTTTAAACAATTATATTAGAATAGAATAAGTGTTCTAGCTAATTGATTATAATAGGATAATCATTCTAAAGGATATCATATCCTAAAATTGTAATTTCTAAAGGAAAGCTTTTGGAATAAGTATTTCAGAAAAGGAAAAGCTTTAGGATCAATTATATAATAAAAAGTTTTAAAAGCTTAAAAAGCTTTAGAAGCTTAAAAAGCTTTAGAAGCTTTTTGAAATTCTTAAACTTTATAAAGCTTCTTTTCATTCATTAATATATAATCAGAATAGTTTCATAATTTAATAACTTCATGTTTAACTTAATTATCAATTAATTTATCTATATTCCAATTGATCTAATAACGAATTTATTTTCAAATAGATAACCAATGATTAATAGCTTTAATCTACAACTACTAATCATACGAAACCTCAGACAGCCGCTGCCTCGACCAGATCGTTACAGATATATAATAAAGTCAAGGAGTTTTGAAAAGTCTTATAGATGAGGGAATGATACTATGGAGATATATATATACTTAATCAAGGAGTGGTGTAGATGGAGAATCGGCGGTGGAATTAACTCTAATTATTGATGATGATGAATTTTTTGATAGTGATTACTTCATTATTGTAAGAATAACAAGAATTTGAATGTAGAAGCCCCATCAATAATTCTCCCTCGTTTAATTATCTTTATGAACTATGTCAATACTATTACATGATCATGAACTATAAGTATTCCCTTTCGATCGGTCCATCCAACCATGACTCAACCTTTAAAATATTCGAGCTCTAGTTTCCTTATCCATTATTAGAGATTTAATATCAGTCTGTAATACCCAACCTTGACTTACCAAACTCAAGTCCAGCTTTTCTCTAACTAGCCATATAGCTACAAGAGTTTATAATACTTTGCCCGGCCATCAGAACTGTCAAGTTATTCTCAGCATTAGATAACTCCAAGGATGGGGTTCTGAAGACGGTGAATTTATTGATATTCTATTCGAGTCCCATAAGCTCAATGCAAATGCAAGTACGATGACCACCTCCTAACCATGATATTCGAAATTATCAAGCCTGGTAGCTTAATGTGAGGTTCACTTTACGAAAGGAAACACAGAGTAGTAACGTTAATTATAACCATAGAATTAAAAGCGGAATCGTGATTCAGCTATTGATATCGTAGGATTTAAATTCAAACAAGTATTTATTATCTCATCTCATAATTTTATATCCGACCTCTTCTCAACTTCTTTCATAAAAAAAAACATGGAAGATTATATTGGCGTAAATCCAGTCGTTTATATTTCACTCAAATGCGATGTCAAGCAAGCATCAAACTCATCTCCTTCGACGATTGTAATAAGAAAAATATTGCTCGTGCTGTTTGGGTCTCTATATATTTCTGATTACTTCAATTCCAGCATGACAAATAAAACCGTCACATGATCGGCCTTCGTGGCACAATTGGTTAGCGCGTGGGCCTTTTAAGCCCAAGGTTGAGGGTTCGAGCCCCTCCGAAGGCGATTACTTTTGCAGTTTGTGTTTATTCATTCTTTTTTTTTATTTCAAGGTGTTTGTTTGTTCGTTGTTGGTTTTCAATTAAGGACGAAGGAGGAAGAAGAGAAAGAAGAAGGTCTTACATATTTTTTGATATTGTGTTTGTTGGTTGCTCTTTTGTGAATGACCCAAGCGATTGCAGAAAAATCAAAGGGGTATCCCTCACACTATTCATTTTTTAGACGAAAGAAAGTCAACAGCAGAATAACTATGATCTTGACTTGACCGGTTTTTAATGGTACGCATTCTAATAGTAAATTTGAGACTTCGTGCCTGCTCGTTTATGCTAAGTAGGATTTACCCTCATGGACAATAATTTTGCTAAAAATTAGCTTAAGTACGTGGAGTGTTGGTTTGATACCACACGCTTCCGCTTCCTCAATTTCACTCCTGGTATTGGAATATAAAACCAACTCAGCAATACGACTCTTTTGTACATAGATTCTTCCAAGAAACTTTTCCACCATTAATTCTGTGCGTAGCTTTTTTGACTTCACTCATATGGGGTCCACCAAGACCCACATAGAAACTCCAAATCCGCAACAGGCGCTCGCTTCTACGAGGAAGACTATCAAGTAGTAGAAGAAAATGAAAAGTATCGAGAAGCTATCTGTCAATATATCCGTCCATGTCTTTGCATAAATCCTGAATACCTGCGACCAGCGAGTTTACACAAGTAACACCGCGGCACACTTTTGCGATCGTGCATAGGTTAATACCCCGCAACGCATTGACATCAGCCTGGCAAGCTGTTGTGTATTGTGAGATGATAAAGCTTATCGCCACCACCATTGGTAACGAAGAAGTTTCCAGATGCTGTATCACGACTGAAGAGGAAGCTTGATACTATGCTTCCAAAGTCGACTCAAAGTGTGGTGTGTCTCTCATCCCAAAAAGCTTCTAGCAATGGAGACACCATCTTTTTGTTCCAAGATCAGAGTCATGCAGCTCAGGAAATCAGGGACTATCGACGGGGTTAGAATGCGGTCAGAACAATTCGTGGATATGTATTGATATATGTGGATATCGATTCTTATACTTGTCATCCGTATCGTAGGGTGGACTGTGAGTAAACCCGAAGTTTTTATTAAGTCGCGGCTGGAAAATAAAGTGGCTTAACTCCCTTCCCACTTTTGGCGTGATAAGCGGTCAGATTGATAATGGTTGGCCTTGGCTTTGTGGGACGGCATGATTTCTAGTAGATTATAAATTCATAGCTGAATAAATTTATAATTGATATCGACATTTACACATATAATATATAAAGACTGCTGCAGAGTATTGGCATCCTCAATTTTTATATACACCACATCGCTGGTCTACTTTCCTCACCACTCACCTACATTATACATCATCTGATGGACGAGACCCAGCCACTCCTTTCTCCCGTACCGCCACCTACAGCCGCAGCTGGGCAATATCCATACATTCCCGATGTGAACATTCCAAACGATGAGTCTTTTGATCATCGAATTGATTTCAATCCCAACGGAGATCCGGAAAATCCATTAGAATGGCCAAAAGCTTATCACAATGGAGTAACTTTACTTTTAGCATTCATGGCATTCACAGTGTACGCATTTCATCCCACCCCACGTTTAACCAAAACTTTCAATCTCTAACTCTTCATCAGAACATTCACTTGTATCGGTGTAGTTCCCATCGCCAGACAAATCATCCTTGATCTCGAGAATCAAGAATCCAAATCCGCATCCGTGCTTCTTGTTACCATTTGGGAACTCGGAGAAGCAGCTGGTCCTTTACTCATAGCCCCACTTTCCGAAGTCTACGGTCGAGCGGCCGTTTTTAACGTTGCTAATGTTCTTTTTATCATCTGGACGGTCGTTGCAGCTATTAGTCAAACATCTCATTTGTTTATTTTGTCGAGATTCATGACTGGTTGCGCTGTTGCGTCTAATGTTCTCAATCCGGCCGTCATTGGTGATATGTTACCACCTGATCAAAGAGGTTCGGCAATGGCAACACTCATGCTTGCACCACTTTTAGGTGGTGCTATTGGACCTGCTATTACTGGAGCAATTGCTCAATCGATTGGATGGAGAAATGTTCTTTGGTTTGCGGCGGGTATGGCTGGAGTTTGTGAGCTTGCTTTCGTTTTCCTGCTGAGGGAGACGTACAAGACTCGTATTATACAGCGAAGAATTGCGAGGTTACAAAAGGATAAAGATGGTCTTGCACTTAAAGTTGTAGTAGAGGAAGAGTGTGAACATACGGCCATTGCGATATGGAAGGCTATCAAACGGCCCGCAGCTGTATTTGGAGGATCTTTCGTCCTGCAAATTTTGTCGTTTTATGGGGCAATCATGTTTACATTCTATTACATCATGTCGACAACATTACCAGAGGTACTGAAAAATGTCTATGGGTTTCCTCCGGCAACAATTGGTTCTTCTTTCTTCGCTTTTAGTAAGTATTTGGCCAAAATACTCCTAATCTACATATCTGACTAACGCAAATAGGTGTCGGATCAGCGGTTGCCGTCTTTGTTTGCAATGTGCTTATAGACCGAATCTATATCTATCTTCGAACTAAAAACAACAATAAATCACATCCAGAATACCGAATGCCTCTCACTGTAATCAGTGCTTTTATCCTTCCAATTTCCATCGTTCTTTTTGGATGGACAGCCCAAAATGGATGGCCAGTTGCCTTGCTTCTTTCCTTGATCGGCCTCCAGGGTTTTTCTATTCTAACGGGCATGGTTCCGCTTATGGCTTATGTAGTCGATGCATTTGGATTATATTCAGCAAGTGCTTTGACAGCCGTACTCATCACGAGATGTTTGACGAGTACATTTTTACCATTAGTTGTTGGACCATTGACTGATGCTCTTGGATATGGATGGGGATTTATGATTATTTCCGGCATCTGTCTGGTGGTCGCACCGATTCCATTATTGGTTATGAGATATGGAGAGAAGTGGAGACAGTTGTCTACATATACGAGGGATGAATAATTTATGACGAATTTATAAAGGATAAAATTTTGTATTGGGCGGGCATGGAAGCATATTAGGTTAGAAGGGATTTTTCATTTTATTACGAGAATATAGACCGATATATCATGAAATAATATGTATATATATAAAGTTACTCTCGTTTATCCACTCTCAAAGATTTTGAGTATCCTAAGCCTTCCTGTTCAAATGTCAAAGGCTGGATGGAGTAAGTACTTCAAGTAACGTAATCGTCTAAATCACCTGTTGTTTCTAGTAATACAACCATTCACGAAAATATATGCCACGTTCTCCGCGGTAACTTTGACATATAATTACTCTAAAGCCTAACCATCATCAATCACCACAACAGCATGGAGAAACAAATTATCCACCACATAACAACTCCATGATAAAAAAACGCCAGCCAGCACCTAAGACGACACAAGGTAACGTTAAGGTAATGGAGATGGTACTCGTTATTTCAAATACAAATGCTGCATCCCCAGCTGCAATGAAACCAACAATGCAAGATTTTGATATATATGTATATATAACAGAACCTAGTACGAATTCGATTGATGAAGAGAACGATATCATAAGCTTACATTAATATACGAGGTATCTTACTATCCGAACCGTGGTTTTGTTTCGTTGAGGTCAAGTATATTTACTAAATCTTTTTATATCATGTCCTGTGCAGTCTTGATATATTGGAGGAATACTAATGATATCCCACGCACCGGGCTAGAAATTGATGGATGGAATTTTGATTATAATTAAAGCCAAATAACTCTTCGAATTTAATAATTTTATTTATTTATTTATTTTCAAGTATTGTATATATAAAATAGAATTTAATCTTACTATTTAGTATTTAATATTTATGTATATTAAATATAAACATAGATATTTATAATTATATAACATCTATTTAAAAGTTTTAACAAAGAAAAAAAAATATTATATAAATTAAAATTACTATATTAGATAATTAAATAAATAATTCACTTTCTAAATAATATATCTATCTGTCTAGTATTTTTAAACTGGATATAATTATATTATATTAATAATAAATATATAAAATTATTGCTATTAATACTACAATATCACAAAGACTATTCATTATAAATCCGGATAGAGAATTGATGTCTCGTGGGTGCGGTGCGGTCTACCTCAAGATTGGATATTATGGATACTTTTTGGGATTTATGGGTATGGAGGTGGAGATTAATGGGGCGGTGATAGGGGAGAAAAAATGTACTTATGTATTTACTGCGGGGTGGTAGATAGGATGAGATGGGATTGGAATGGGAATTGGTATGGTGTTGTGTGAGGGGGATGGAGATTTCTTGATGATTAGATGGGTGTGGATGGAGGAGTGTATTGCGAAGATATGCGCATGATGTCCGTCTGGGTATATTCACAAAGCTTATACCGAATGACAATAAAACTAAAGGGGTTCAAGGTAGCAATAATATATTGTCTATCGGTATTCCAACGATATGGAATCACAAAGCGAAAGAAAAAAGGGGTGAAGGGTATTTCAAGTAAAAGTAAAATGTTGAAGTGTTACAAGGCCAATCGGACAAAGCGGCCGCATCCCACCCGCCTAAACGGATACCACATTCGGCATGCGATGTACTTCTACTCACCACAAGAGGAGTCACCACCACGCAAAAAATTCAAAATATGATATCAACCGGTCGGATTCAAACCAACATGTACATTGCGTAACTCCCTACACAGGACTCGAACCTGTAGCCTCAAGATTAGGAGTCTTGCACGCTACCATTGCGCCAGCAGGGATATCATGTGATTGTGGGATTGAAAAATTAGATTTCTTTATGAAGTACATGCTAGAGCTGTGCTGATAACTTCGGGGTTTTTTGCAACTTATAATTTCACAAGTGTCGGAACGAAAAATTTATATTATTTCATTAGGTGGAATTTGTATTTGAAATTTTATTTTATTTTATTTTATTGTCAACTCTACTCCAAGCTTCATTATTTGGGCATCTAAAATCTCAAAAAGATACGTAGAGTTCTCCCAGGCTAAATTGAATAGAGATGAGTATCTAATTCTTAGAATAAGACCACGAGTACAAGCGGACTATTGCTATTGCCGATTACCTAGATATCAAAAACAAAAAGTATATACCCTCCCACCCAGATTCAAACCGAGCTGCATAGAAAGGTCTACAACTAATAGTAACCTCTCTATAGGAATCGAACCAATATCTCCGGAATCAGAATCCGACGTGCTGACCATTACACCAAGTGAGGATTCGGATCATGTGATGATGTGCACGTGGATACTAATATGTGTATATATGCGTAAGTATGTTTGCGACCAAGGCTTGATTGCGGAGACATGAGGAGGTTTCCAAAAGAAAAAAAGAAAAATCTTCAACGAGGCAAGCGAGCGGTGCCCCCTTTTTCTCCACTTGTTCTAGAGGGTCTTCTTCATTACCTCCTAGCTACCTAGCGAAAGGAGAAAAGTCACGAGGAATTCGACGTTAGAATCATCGGAGATTCGTCAAGATCCAAGAGTAATCATCCCATGCTGTACATCTTATCCCACATCAGCCATCCAATCATAATAGATCATTCATCAAAACTTTCACTCTGCATAATTTGTTGCACATCTTAAAAAGGGCGAAAGAAGAGGGGCCTCCAGTTTTTCAGCTAAACGCCCTGAATCGCGCACATCTTCTTCACATCTTCGTCACATTTTCGAGTAAACCTCGTTCCTTCCTCGATCAATTCAACGATGTGGATTCTGTAAGTGCGATAAGATATACACTTCGATAAACTAGATATATAGTAAGTATATCGCATCAAATACATCACGGGACTTGAGTAATTGTGATTATACTAATAATGTAATATGGCTGGCTACATAAACATCAAAAATCTAAACAAAAAGAATATTAATTACATCTCTAACCATTACCTTTTCCATTTTCTCTACCCTCTCCTCATTCTCCCTTAATCCTCTCCCCCCCTTCATTCAAGTTTTCAACCCCAGCTTTCTCATCACTCCATCATTCCGTCACTCATTCATTACATTTATCTCGCCATCCAATTAAATCCATCCCACATTAACCAAACCCAGATTGTCACATCCTCCGAATGTTGCACATCGCATTTTTGTTGCATATCATGAAAGCAATGATTGATTCACGAAAAATCCTATTACTCCATACCTACGTATCAATCCAACCCTCCTTCCTTCCTTCCTCACCAATGAATGACGACAGCCCATAACTCCCAAAGTCCGAGAGCTCCGAAATCCAAACACACATACGCGGCCAACGAATCAAAGAGCCACAAAACGAAAAATATTTCCCAGGATTGGACCTAACATATCATGCATGCATGCAAACGCAAACAAGCATGGCAAAAACGTGAAAGCCACGCTCAGAAGATTAAGACGTGCAACAAAAATTCATCAAGGGAGTCAGTCTTCCATTCGGGAGGGGAGAACGTGATGAGTTGGTTTATGTAAGCGGGATTTTGCAGAGTACGGTTTAACGTTAACCCTACCTAGATGGCAGGGGCTGATATGGATATCGACATCGGTATTATATAATGTCTAGTGTCAATTTATTTAATTTATACATACATTAGATGGTAATGTTGAGGAAGATCCTGTTTTGCGATAATTGTATTGGAACTAGTTGAGTTGGTTGTCCTCCTCATATTGAGAATACAAATGCGGGGGAGAACTCGCTAGAGGATGCTATAAGTTTATCTTTTAATTCCGATGGAAACATACGAGCTGCTTACAGTATCTATCTACAATCTTTTCTTTTCTTATTTACTCCAATTTCCATAGAATAAGCTCGTAAAATAATAAAAGAACTATTAATGATTGAGAAATTAATTCACAGGATTTTGTTAAAAGTAACGGGAAATTATTTGTTTCCCCTCAGTTCATTAGATAAAACAGAAGCAGACAGATACACTATTTCGTGGTTATGGCACGCAAACGAAGAAACGTCCTCAGCGAAGGACTTCATGTACCTTAATGCACAGGCTATCATCCGTGCCTCACAGCCTCTTTTAGCACGATCCTTTACAAGAGATACATTTCGAAAAGGCGGTGGATGGTACATAGTGATACAATTGTGGAAAAGAGCGGTTAAACAGGCAAATTAGTCCCTCAAATTTGATATAGCCTTACATGACATGATGGGAAATGCATCAACGTTGAGAAGTATCTGTCGTCATGCCTGTCTAGTCTTTGTCCCACACCGCTATTCCCGCTAATCATCCCTCCCACACCACAAACGCAAAACGCACAAACGACTCTGTTTAGCCAAACCAAACCCCAGAAAAGCCTTCAACCATCATCCGGGTGAGCTTGGACCGCCACGCATGGCTTCACCACCACCACTCTTTTCTCCGGTTGCTCAAAGGGATATTTTACCAACGTACCCGTGATATCGTATGCAATGACAAACGAATCGTTCAACTCGGTCTTCCTCTTGCACTTCTCCGTGTATACTGCAGCCTGTGGTTGAACGTCGTCCTCATGAAGCACCTCTCCCCATTTCGGAATCTCGCAGCGGTATACGTCCTTGCACGTTCTCAGTTTCATGGTAAGCTTAAAAGCTCTCATGCATAGTTCCTGCCATTCGCCTCTAAGCTGGTTGGTTTTTTGATTGGGATCTGTTCGCAGGGGGGCCAATAAGTACAAAAAATCTTCAGCGACATTCATGCATATACGTGGTGGATGGCTGGGGCTGGCTGGTTGGAGGTATTGTGCACATTTCATTGTGAGGGTTCTCCAGTTGGCGAGTTCAATGTGTCGATCTGCAACTATTAGTATCTCAAAAGAGTACATCTAGTGAAAGGTAGGTGTGGACGCAAATACCTGGGTGATCTTCGCTGAACGATGACTCGAAATTTCTCAGCTCCTGTTCCATGCCCAAGTTCTTATCTTCAAGTCCAAAAGATGTTGTGAATAACAGCGATTCATCCAGGTGCTGAAATATGAATGCCCTCATCCGCGCGTGTAGCCTATGTTCTTTGGATTCAGCTTCGAAGATATGGTAAAGACGCATTTGCGCGTTTCGTAAGGTGACATGTTCAGGTGCTGAGGGGGTTTTGCTCATGCTGTAATACGTGTGCACAATGTGCTCAATTTGGAGCCGAAACCATCGAAATTCATCGGCTATGACTGTGTCGTCGACTTCGAGCATGTTCGGGGTGCGAAGAATAGTGCGGAATCTGGCCGCTAATATTTCATGATGTTGCCTCAGTTGCTCGGATGCTTCCAGATTCTGTTGCAAGGTAGTGATTTCCGCCGTTACTGAAATGCGCCCAATTTCTAATACCTTGAGCTCCTCATTAAGTGCGGAATTTTCCTTCTTTTGTATTTCAAACTTTTCGAGCAATTCTTGATACTCTTGACCTTGAGATATCTTATCCTTAACTGCTTTGTCGTATTTGGATGCGAGATTACGGGTCTCATCTTTTGCTTCAAGCAGATATTTATTAGTGGCCTGCAGATCATCGAGGGCCTTGTTAGCGTTCGCTTCCAGTAAATCTTTGTGACTGCAGACGATGCTGATATCATTCTGTAAGTTCTTGCACCTGGTCTTCAATGCATTCCTTTCACGAGTAATGTTTTCAGTGTGTTTAAGAGCATTCTCAACCTCTCTTTTTGCTTGCTCTCTCTCCTGCGTGGCGTTGTCAATTTGCTTCCTCAAATTTTCGCGCTCAATATCAAATTGTGCGAAGTCCTTGGTGTTATTGTAGGGAAGAGTCATCTTGGCTGCTCCTCGCTGCTGCAGCTATTAGCTTCACATATGCAGCAAATAGTTGGCAGTGTATAGATCATTTACTTACGAAAAGTCTATTGAGAACCCGAAGAAGACAACAGGGCCGTCTCTCCTCCGCACCGTTTTCCACACAATTGGTTTCGGAGTGTAAATCTGATTCGCCGCGAGGGACGTGAGAATCAACGCCTTCCATTTCTGGGTTGTTTTTGGGATTGACCGCTGTGGTTACTTACCGCGTTTTGTTTGTGCTGCAGTTCTGCTCTGTTAAATATGCGACGGTCCTGAGCCGCGTCAAACTGCTGGTAAGGTAAAGCATCAGCCCGAAATTTCGGCAGGGTACTAGTCTCAGACCGCTTTTGTGTCCATAGAGTTTACTCGTAGAGAACCAGGCAGAGATGAGACACTCTTTCTAGATATACCATCTAATTTCTCTGCGATTTATAGATTCTGCTGGAAGCCGCAATGCTTCGGCTTGGCCCTTTACCGAAGTGAATGGGATGAAACGTAAGCTGCATGGTCAAAGCGACCAGTGAGAAACTGGAAACTGGAAGCATCCCATGTTTGTAGCATAATTCACTATCAAAATTCAGAGATAGCGTTTGCATGAACAAAAGAATGAACGTGGGCATGAATCCATAAAATGGGATCTTGTTACCACATGAAATTTTCCTCTATTGTTGCACAGCATACTTCATCTTATTACATCCGAATTTTAAGACGATAATTCTGCTTGCGAGCTTTGTCGCAATGAACGACCAAATTGAGGGAAAAGCCACGACCCGTAGACTTTTCACCTGCTTCGACGAACAGAATGCTGATGTATCGGAGGATCAGATTCTGATTGGCATTGATTTTGGGACGACATTCAGCGGAATTGCGTTTGCTTGTCTTTCAGACGAAGATCCAAAAGTTATTGTGGTGAAGTCCTGGCCAGGTAAGGCATCTAATTACAGTGACACTCTAAACAGATTTCTAACCACATCACAAAGGAATGGCCATGAATCAAGTGAAAGTCCCCACGATCATAAGCTACGGCTCATACAATGAAAAATTTAGCTGGCGATCACAGGCTTCTGACGATTATTCGATACACGGCATTAAACTACTGCTTGACCCTAACCAGGACATGCCATCCTACATTCCAGAATCAACTCTGAAGAGCAATCTCAAACACTGTGGAAAGCCAGCTGTTGACGTAGCCGCCGACTTTCTTCAGGCCATGTACAAATACGCTTTGGAAAGATTGGAGCTTGAATTTCCTCTCGAGTACGTCAAAATCTGCGAGAAGAAACTCATTCTTTCGGTCCCTGCTGTCTGGTCTGACAAGGCAAAAGACTTAACTTTACAAGTGGGTATCTCTCATCGCATATTCTTTGCCAGGCTAACCACCTCCCATTTAAAGGCCGCCAGGCAGGCAGGTTTGCATCCAGTAGCACTTGTCAAAGAGCCAGAGGCCGCGGCATTTCATACTTTAAACAGATTAAAAAACAAGGGGGTAGCGGTATGACTATCCGCCTTTTTTGGAAAACAACAACTAACGGCTTTTTAGGTTGGCAATGCAATAGTGATCTGTGACGCTGGCGGTGGTACAGTAGATTTAATTTCCTACGAAGTTGTTCAATTGGTACCTAAGCTGGAGTTGAAAGAGCTTGTGCCTGGTACAGGTCAGTGTTAACCTATCTTTGGTCGCTAAAATAAGTATGCTAATGAGCGCCAAGGCTGTATGGCAGGCTCATTGAATCTCAATAACCGATGGGAAGAAATGGTCAAAGACATAGTAGGGGAGGATGATTTCTACAGGATTAAGGGAGACAAGTGTTACCTAGGACCTCTGGACTACTTCGAACAAGTTGCCAAGAGACAGTTTCGTGGCGTTGAGAGAAAGTGGGTTTTCCATTTCTTCAAGGCAAATCTCAGAGATAATCGACCGAAAGGCCTATTCTCCGATACTTTGGTCTTGAATTGGTAAATTCTGCCCCCAATTTGGTGTCACAATAAAGCTGACACATTAACAGTAAAGATATGAAAGCCATATTCGACCCTATAATCGCGGACATCAAAGACAAAGTCAACGAACAGGTGCAGGCCGTCATGGCCAAGAGACTGTCGGATCCCCATGAAGGAAAACCAAAGGTGATGTGCCTCAATCACTATATGAATCTTACCTGACCCTTCCTAGGCCATTCTTCTTGTAGGCGGGTTTGGTTCTTCGGAGTATCTCAGATCTGAACTTGCTCAACAATTTCCCACTATTCAAGTTATGCAGCCAAATGAATCTTGGTCTGCAATAGTCCAGTAAGTTCCCGAGATATAAGGAAGAAGACTTGCTAATGTGTATCAAGGGGTGCGGTGCTTAGCCAACTTCCACAAAAAGTCACGGTAGTCTCGAGACAAGCGACGCGGCACTACGGCGTCTCAGCCGGTTTTATCTATGACGCCGCGAAAGACGAAGGACATCCAAAATATATGGACGCATATGGAAAGTGGCGAACTCGGCGGGTAAGATAGGACACTTTTCCCATCTCTCGCTTGTTTGCTCATACCTCTAGATGACTTGGTACATACGTCGTGGCGACACCCTCGGACATTCGCACAAGATCCGGTTCCCATTCTATCGCACTCTCCAAGATTTGTCCGACGAAAGCCTTCAATTTCTTGTAAGTCTCAAGCAGTGCGAACTGATCGAAGCGCCAGATCATCCCGACTCCACAGTGGAAGCCAACTGCCAATTGGTGGTAGACTTGAGGAATGTGGAGAGGGATACTTTCCAGAAAAAGAGGGGAATGTATGGAGATTGGTGTTGGGATGTTCACTACGACCTGGTAGTGATAAGCATGCCTGCCATCATGAAGTTTTCACTCGAACACAGAGGTAAGGAAATGGGCAGTGTTAAGGCGAAGTATTGATGGATGCGAAGCTTGGGAGAAAGTCCAGAGAGGGTTTGACCCCGGTTTTCAGGTAGCAAATTATGTTTCTGGTTTTTAGAGAATGAATTGATAATTCGAGAGACTCTGCGTGATTGCTGATCATTGCTTTATCCATTGTTTCTTTTTTTTTTTTGAGAATATAAATAAATAGTCTTGACGTTTAACATGAACGATTGAAAAGAAGGTAACTGCTCGAGCAGAGGAATATGGCTCATACGGGATGAACATCAAGAGGCCGTGTACAAATTCATAGTTCGTAGTCAAAAAAAGAGGGCGAGGGAGAGATGTGGGATGAAATGAAATAAATGCCATGAAAATAATTCTCGAAGAGTAAGTTCACCGGACAGCTGGTTGGCCTAACCAAGTTAAGTCACCGCCTTTTCACCGAAGTTCTACTGATTCATCCACCAAATGAAGCTTAGGCCCCTGTGCATTTAATTATTTCACTCGGCTGATGGATTTTTATCCAATTATATATAACGTCAACACCGTTTTAAGATATCTAGGATTCGACGTTCTATCTTGACAAGGATGTCATATTGTCATATTGTCATGAATCAAAGAATTAGAAAATGTTTAAGGAAAGCAAACTTTGAATAGATTGTACACCTTTGTAACGATCTGATAAAGACAGCGGCTGCCTCAGGTTTTGTATAGTTGGTAGTTGTAGATTAAAACTAATAATTACTAATTATCTATTCGAAGATAAATACATTACTAAATCAATTGGAATATAGATAAATTAATTGATAACTAAATTGAGTACGAAACTTTTAAACTATAAAACTATTCTTGACTATATACTTATCCCTTCCTTGTATATTAGCTATATTAACTAACTAACAGAGTTAACATATCACATAATTGAAGATCAGACTATATATCCGAACTTGCTGAAAGTGGGGAGACCATATGAAGTGGTTGTTATACAAATTTGTATACAAATTGCTTTGCTTTTTAAGGAGGTCCAAACTCGTAAGGACAGGTTAATTGTTACCCTGTAACACTCTATAAAATGATTTCGTGATAGCCTTATGATAACCGACATCTCTACATCTTGCACGACCTCATATCTTGTACACTCCTTATTCATAATTACGATCATTTCAAAATTTAATAATAATTCGATTTTATAAGATATGAAATTAGAACTTTAATTTACGAATAAAAAGATATAATGTTATTATATAAAATTATAAAAACTTTATATTTAAAATCTTAATAGAATCTTGATCTATTATTAGTTTCTTATATATATATTTACTCTTTTTTCTTTTTCATTCGAATTATCAATTATTTTTGTATTTAAAGATTTTATAACTTTTCTAAATATTAAATTTATAATAGAAGAATATTTTGAAATCTTTTGAAATCTTTTAATAGAAGATATTAATGATTTTTGAATCTTTTTTGTTTTCTTTTTGGAATTCTATATAATTTAACGATCTATCTTTTTTTGGATTTTCTTTTCTTTTGTTTTTAAATTCTTTTTTTGTTTTTCAGTTTTTTTATTAACTTTCTTTTATATTTTAATTATCTTTTTTTTTAAATAGTAAATGTTTTAGCTTTTTGATAAATCTTAGTTTTCTTTATTATATTAAATAAATATAAAAAAATCCTTTCAATCTTTTCCTTTATAAGATTTAAATGTTTTGAACAAATTCTTTTCTTTTTTTCGATCTTAAGAGTTATTTCTAATCTTTTTGTTTTATAAGATTGGATATTAGTTTTAATTATATTTATAATTGTTGTTTTGAAAAGTTTTGATACAATATTAAGATCTGGATTAAGATAAAACTCTAATTGAAGATAATAAAAGGTTTTCGATATATATAGAGTTTTAAATTTATCTTCTATTAGTTATATCGATATAGATAATATAGAAATACTTTTAAAAGTAATATTTGAGATTGTTATGTTTTTATTTATAGAATAAATGCTTGATTTTTCGAAAGCTTTCAGAATATTATATATAGTATAGAATTGAATTTAAGATCTTTTAAAGAATAATCAAAAGTTCTATTTCGATATTTTAATAATTATTTTTTTATTATATATAAATATATTCAATTTTATATTATAATTCATCGAAAGAGAAAGGAAATAATCAATATCAAAAAATTATAAACAATATATAAAATAAGAAAGTAAAATCAATATTATGATTTTCAATTTTTTATATTTTGATATAAATTTTATATTTATATAATTAAAATAATTATTTATAATAAATAAATAGTATCTTTTATTTGTTTTTAAATATATATAATATTGAAAAATCTTTATAAATTAAATAAAGTTGAATATATTCAATGATTATTTATTGATTGAAATTTTAAAATAAGTCTTATCTTTTATTCTTACTTTATCAATTTATATATTTTGTAGATCTTTTGATTTCCCTTTATAAAATAAAATAGATGGTATAATTATATCATTTGTATATATATATATTAAAAAGATAATAAATTCTTTTGATTTATTTTATTTAATTTTTATAGTTTTGTTTTTTTTGTATATATTGATACTTATAATTCTTTTTATAATTCTTTCAAAATTGATTATAAAATTCTTCTTATTTCAATTATATATATTCTTTGAGAATATATTATATTTTATAATCATATTTATCAATTAAATAAATAAAAAAGAAAGATTAACAAAAATCTTTTAAATAATATATAATAACAACAATATAAAATAATACAAATTAGATTATAAAAATATTCAAATATATCAATATTATTAGTTTTCATATACAAATTATCAATACAACAAAGATATTAATTTTGAAGATATTTTTTATATCTTTTAACAAAATTTGATATCTAATTTTTCTTTACAGAATAATTTATCATCTTTTTTGTAAGATTCTTTATTATACAATTTGTGAAAAATATAAATCTTTATATTAGTTTATTAATTTGATCGATTAAAAACTTTTTTTGTTTTAATGAAAGATATTGATACGAATTAATATAAATTATATTATAAAGAGTTGATTTACTTTTATAATATCGAGAAAATATAAAACGATTGATTTCAAATAATTTTGTTATATAAGTATATTGAAGATGTTTTTGTTCTTCAATATAAGCTAATGCAAGTTTTATAATGTTTTGTGTAGCTATATTAGCTGTGATTTAATTCATATAGTTGATGATTTTTGAGGTTATAAAATGTGTACAAGATGTGGGGTCGTGCAAGATGTAGGGATGTCGGTTAGTGTCTAGCAAATGGGGAAGGCTTTTCTGGAGCAGGCTTTGGCGATTTCTTCTATAATGGGGTACTTTTTCCAGGAATATCCGCTCTTTCTTAGCATGGTTATTTTATTGGTCGTCAACTTAGGGGCTATTCATATGTTCTATGATAGCTTATATATTGGTCCATTTATACCAATAATAGTCCTTTGTTGTACTTTCAAATCTTGATGAATTCGTCGAATCCCGACAAAGAATGAGCGATGGCACTCTACATCCCTCTGGCCACGACATAAACTGCTCTTTCATGAACGTCGCAATTAGTGCGTGCCACCAGCCAAATTGGATTAAGATATATAGAGCGACATATATCGCACCGTGAGCTCAAGGAACTCACATTGTTCGAAGCCAAAAGCGTGCAACTGTTCAAAATGGATTCTGAAGCATCCGCTACCATGATAGGCCTTGACGCTCAAAATGAAAGATACGTAAAAAAAAGCTATGGAATTGATAAGCATGATTCTCGAGGAAATGCAAAGAGAACTCGGGAGACAATCTATCAGATGCCCAGTGAGTGTCACCACAGCCACACGCAACCTATTTTCAAGGTTTCAAATCGTGGATTTGGCACCATGTCTCCTTCTCCGCCACTAATGACTTTCTGCAGACTGAGAATGTCGACGTCCCTGATGAGAAAGGAAAGGATGATGCTCGTGAAAGATACAAACAGCTACATAGCGATTACAAGATAATGTCAGACCAGCTTGACGCATTTGCCCGCGAGAAAGCTAAGGCGCCCTGGAGAAGAGGTCAAGGTCAAGGGGAATTGGAAGTGGCCCGGGCACGAGCGAGAATCCAAGATCTAGAAGCAGAGGTCAAGGTCCTCCAAGCTCGGTGCGATGACTATCAAGCACAAGCTAGTCAGCTTGCTCAAGATCTGCAAATGTTGTATATTGAGATCGAAGACGTTAGACAGAAAAATAAGGCCTTACAATCAGAGATCGATTCTATAGAACAACGGTATAGAAAAGCTAGTCAGCCTATTCAAGATCTGGAAATGTTGAACAAAGAACTTAATCAGAAAAACACGGTCTTACAATCAGAAATCGATTCTATAGAACAACGGTATAGAAAAGCTAGTCAGCCTATTCAAGATCTGGAAATGTTGAACGAAGAACTTAGCCAGAAAAACAAAGCCTTACGATTGGAGATCGAAGATCTTAAAGAGAATAATGGTACCTTGCGATGCGAGGTTAATTCTCTAGAAGAAAAATATGCAAATGCTAGACGGATGGCTGCTCAGTTTCGCATCAAAATTGAAGAGTCTTTTGGATTAGCGTCTCATCGTATATTGATCCCACACTACTATGAGGAAATAACCAGCAAGATCTCTCATCTCGTCTCAAAATACTTAAATACGGCCCCAAAAGAGAGACCAAAAGAACAAAATCAACGACGCCAAAGAGACGTATCCTTGAGTAAGATTTGGGATGAAAATTTGAGTGATCACGAAAAGGAGTCTAGATGCATGGCGGCCATCTTCGAATTCTTGAATGACGAAATACTTTTGAAGCCGGCATTTGGTCTTGAAGATGACGACGAAGATGGGACCTTGGAAAGAGGGCTTGTTGAGTTTGAAACAAGATTGCGAGCTTGTCCTGAAGGTAATTACCAAATGAAGTCAAGTGTAGCATGGGAACCATTACTGATATTAAAACGGCTTTAGACAGCATTGAATTTGCTCTCAAAAATAATTGGGTAAACCTCACTCTGGAGAGTGTAGAGAAGATACGAAAGAAAGGTCCAGGGTCAAAACCGTATTCTTTGGCGTCAGATTTGGAAAAGTTCTTGAGACCTGTTTCGAAGCGCATTGATGGAAATTTAAGCGGAGAATTATTGGAGCTGTGTAAAACAGCGTTCGATCTCAACTGGTCGATGAGATCGGAATATCAATTTGAATTTCAATTTTACTCTCTAGAACCAGGAACCGTACCGGAGGAGCTTCCAAAGGTTAAAACCCCGGGAACTGACGTGGAAGTTAACCCGCAGCCAAGAATCTTGGAATACCTGGCAGTTGAGAGAGGATACCCGGAGCATCTTACTAGAACTGTTGCTTACACGATATTTGGAGGATTATCATGTATTGTGACAAACAAGGATGAATATAACCCTATAATGGTCCCAGCAAAAGTATGTTTCAAAGTCGTATAGAGTTCCCTGTGAACTACCTCTAAAATAACCTTCAAAGTATTGAATAATTTTTAGCAAAATAAAAAAGGACCTTGACCTTGAGTCCTACATGGAGGTAGAAAAAAATAACACCTTAGATGTCTATGATATCATTCCACTATGTCGTATGCTAAACATTTTATTATCTAACCTTTTTTAAGTAAAGAATTTTTACCCCTATAAAGTATCAAAAAGCTCTTTATTTTAAATTATGAAATTTCCATGATATCTCCGGTCTATGTTTGTTAGAAAAAGCAATTAATTTATGGGCTTTATATGATAATCAGAACAACAAGGTTATCTCATTGAGATACTGCTCAAAGGGGTGAGCGAACCTTGAAGGAAGTAAGAAGGAATATCAAGAAAAGGCACGACCATTTCGGGACTCATCATGCTGCTGATTCTTAAGGTCTCACTTCCAGCGATCCTTGTACAAGCACCTAACGGAGCTCTAGTGCATTGAATGGCTTTCTGAGGGAGGGTTGGAGGGTTGTTAGGACATCGAAAAGCTGAACATTTAGGTGCTACGTGGGACAATTTGCTAATCCACAAACACAAGACAAAAGCATTTTATTTATAATCGGAGGTATGTCATTATTCCATTATGAATGCTAATCATTATCATATCAAGTAGACTATTCGCCACAATGCATGTCCCACGAGATTGCACCGCACTTCTATCTTTACAATTCTTGGTGGATAGTTGCAGCAACCTTCTCCTCATTCATCATCTTAATATCTTCAGGATTCTCAGCATTGGCGAGGCCGAGCCTCTCGTTGATACTTTGCATTCTTGCCTTGTCTGCAGCCGCAATACTGTCAATGCTACCGCCAAAGTACACATCGAGTTCCTCCAATGTCTTGTCCTTTGTTTCTGGGAAGAATTTCCAGATGAAGAAGCCACCCCCAGCACTAAATACAGCGAAAAAGATGTATGTACCGTACTTCATAGACTTCAGCATGTCTTTAGTGGTCAAGCCGATGACGAAGTTGAACATCCAGTTGGTTGATGCAACAAGAGAGACACCACGAGATCTAACGCTGGCCGGGAAGATCTCCTGAGCAAGAACCCAGGTGACTGGTCCCCAAGAGTAGGCAAAGTTAACTGCAAATAACCAAATGAACACGATGGCGACCCATCCTTGTGTGACAGCAAGACCTTCATTACGGTTCCATTGGTCTTCGTAAACACCTTCTATGGAAGCTACAACGACGTGGCAGATGCACATACCGATGGCACCAGCAATAAGAAAAGTCTTACGGCCGAATTTATCGAGGTACAGAACCGCCGGTAGAGTAAAGATGACTTGCAAGATACCCGTGACTCCAGTAGCTAGTAGAGTGGTGGTAGTGCTGGAGAAGCCGAAACTGGAGAAAATTTGAGGAGCATAGTACAAAACGGCATTAATACCGGTAAACTGTTGGAAAACCATCATAGCACATCCAAGGAAGATTCTCTTGAACACATGGGGTGCGAATAATGCTTTCCATGGGGCAAAAATTCCACCATTTCCAATTTGCTCAGCTTGAGTCTCCTCGTCGAACATGACAGCTGCCTTAATCTCGAGGAATTCAGCTCGCAATAATGGGTCATTGGCGTCGAGACGTCTGAGTTTGCAGAGGGATGCAATGGCTTCTTCCTCACGATGCTTCAGCATCAACCATCTTGGGGAGAATGGGAAGAAAAACATTCCAATGAAAAGAGTCCATGCAGGGATCAATTGTAATGACAATGGAACTCTCCAGGCAATTTGATTTTGACCAGTGCAAGGATGTCCGTGGTTCGCGGCAGCATTATAAGTGCCATCAGGAAGGTATGGGTTTGTGATACCCTCTGGCTTGCACTTGTTTCCACCGGAGAAGGAAAAACCGAAGTCAAGCCAGAAAGCAATAGTAGTTCCAATGGTAATGGAGAGTTGTTGAAGTGAAACCAAGGATCCTCTAAGTTCTGGGGGTGCAATTTCTGCTTGGTACAATGGAATAACCATAGAGAACATACCAATACCCACACCACCAATGATACGGCCACCGAAGAAATATGATGGATTTCGTGCCCCAGTTTGAAGACCTGTGCCGAGTGTGAAGATTAAAACGGCGACCATCATACTATATTTTCTTGAGATTTTATCCGCGAGGTATCCGTTGAACAGAGCACCGAACCATGCACCAAGTTCAAGGGAAGCAACGAGCCACCCTTGAGTGGTCGATGATGTGAGAGTTGGGAATTCATTCTCGAAGTTCTCCATAACCAGTATTGGGGACATTACTCCTTGATCGTAACCTGTTATGCAAATATTAGCCCAACGCTCAATTCCTCCGGCAGACACGGGTTATGGGAATGATTGTACTCACCATACATCATACAACCCAGTGATGCGAACAAACATGTCATGAATACATAAGGATTCTTCAGCATGCCCATGAGACCATGGGCTTTTGCTGCATTCTGTCGAGCCACGAGCGCCTGGCTCGGAGCCCCCTTTTCCGCCATGATAGCCATGGTCGTCGGCGTGAAGATGAAATAAAAGCAAAATTGTAGAGAGGAGATGAAGGGGGAAGCGGAGCCCGATGGAATGAAGACGATCTGTGACAAGAAGAGAAAGGGCATAGAAGCCTTCATATATATACTCCGTACCTCCAAATATTTACCATTTATTCATGGAGGGTAAAGCACTTACCGCCGTGTTTCCTAATCAAGTTTAGACTTAAGCATTTTCAAAAAGGACAGCCACCCTTCCAGCAAAATGATACTCCCCACCCCGAAAGTGGACGCCCTGGGGAAGGATGCCACGCGTTAATTCCCGACTCATGGGTCATTTGTGTGTGGACAGAGTTTACGGAAGAATTGGGGAATCCTGAATAGCAGGCGATGATCTTTGTCCTTTCAACTTTTCTGCTTCCTCCCCGGGGTAGGTGGCCAATAGCTCGATTGTAGTGAAAGCCTAGGAAGTCTGGGTAGAAATGCACTGCTGGACATGCTACCCCCTTTTAGACTGGGCCTTGCGTCCACTCTCTTTTCTCCAGCAAAAAGCAACTTTATGGTTTTGAACTAAAAACTGTAGCGCGACCGCCTTCAGGGAGTAACGGATTTTAACCTAGAGTTTTACCGCTGCATCATGTACCAGGGCTGCGGGACAGCCAGAGGCAAGGATTGTGTTGTAGCACAATCAGATGAGGGAGTCCAAGACCTTGGTTTGTTAACCGACAGACCGGTTCTGCAAGTCACCCGTCGACAAGCGAGCTGCTGGCCATTGACATATTGTCAAGCTTTGCTTGGTTGCTTGGCTTTCAACGAAATTGAAGAAATAAGCGCAGGTATTGAAAATGCTCTACGATGGACATCGAAGACGTCGACTCCTTCAGCTAGTTAGGGCTAATCCTAAGGAGTTTGCTGCTTACTCATGATCAAGCAATATTAACAAGTCCGCCCAAACTCCGCATTTACGAGTTGTCATCATCTGACAACGTTTTGCGGGCGGTGGGAGAAGTGGATTCCACAAATATTCGGCCCTTTCTCTCCAGATGGAGAGGCTTCCAACCCCGAGGTTCGGCAGTGGAGAAACCCCAACATAACCCTGTGTGGATGATTTAGTGAGGAGAAAGGATCCTGTGCGTCCTACAGGGTAAAAAGTGCGTGTTGGTGGGTAATTCTAGCGATATCGTTTTCGTGACAATCCGAGTTCCGGTGGAGATGCTGTGGTGGGGACACGCATAGAATGAAGAGGAGATTGCTCTAATGTCCTTTTTCCGACTTTTCAGTAGGTTAAATAAAGGGGCTCAGATCATGCCAGCTCTAGGTTTCCAAGAATTGGTCAATCAGATGGGTTTATTCCAACAGGAGACCATCCTACCAGCATAACATAAATAAACGCTGAATCCTGGCTCCTGAGCCTGAGCTCATCAAGATGTAATTAGTAAATGCTGAATGATGAATGATGGCTGATGAGTGTGAAATAATGACCGTGGAATTTTGGAATTGACTCATTCAGATTTTCTCGGTTCCGAGAATGTTAACGGGATATTAACCTTACTAAGATCGACATTCTGACAGCTTGACAGCTACATAAACTAATAAGCATCCACAAACCAACGTATGCGTGGCACATCCAGTTGACCTAATTGAATTCCTTTTTATCACGAAATACGAAATAGCAACAACCTACCAAATCGCCAACTATAAAAGGAATTTTCTATAAATTCCTGTATCAAGGCAATGCTAACGTTAACCAACCACCCGCCTTACGCCCCTTCGAATATTGATTGTTGGAACGGCAACTGAATAAAATAAGCCTTATATTCACTCCTGGGGATGATAGCAAATCCGATATTTAACCGACTATCAATCAACCTTAGATAGGTACAGAACGTTAACCCCAAACTGGAGATCCCCGTGTTTGCGTATGTGCCGATATCCGCTTACGTCGCCTTACGAAGATCTCACAAATCCCAATAAACCAACAAACCCAACATCTATTATCTATTTCCACAATTCCAATCAACAACCGCACCAAAAGGCCCGATAGTCTTTCGGATTAGACGGCTTTCTGGAAACAAAACCGCAACAGCTCTGCCAAAGCGGGTACGCGTCAGCGGAATCTGGAGTCTCCAGGTTGGAGTTGGCAGGGAGAGAATGAGCACTGAGGATTGGAGATGGGAAGAGGTAGCATGGAAACTTATGCGTAAGCCCGCTAGCTAAGGTTGGGCATTTGGAGTTCTGTAATTCATAATGTAAAGCAAAATTTTGGCTTTTGTATATAATCTAGCTCGCATTACAGAAAGCTAATATAATGGGGTAATTTGAAGCTATTTTGGAATCCATTGATCTCATCGTCGATCTCGTCATCGTTCTCATTTTTTCCATTTTTGAATGATTTTATCTTCAATGATTACTAAGTAAACAGAGGTAAAATTTGGAGGTTTCTGATTGGTCATTGTGATCACGTACATAAAGCTAAAGCATAATCTAGTAAAAGACTTTCATTATGCTTTATTGTAATCTAGCTCTGCTTTACATAAAGCGCCCAACCCTACCGCTAGCTCACTGCAAAATGAATGTATATCATAGGGAAGTGTCACAGTATGGTTGGTGGGCTGGCTTTCATCCTCGCATATATAGTACGTTCTCATACCGTCTTCTCCCGTGTATCTTTCACTTGCTAGGATTGGTTGGACAAGGCTTGCCTGACTTTCGATTCTGATTCTATATTCCAATGCATTTCTCAGTAAATTTTCAACCTATCATCGACACTGATAAGCCTAGTGGTCCGGACGACGTCATGATTTATGTTAATCTTACATCCTGTTAGGGAACAAGCACCTCGCGGCAGAACATCCTCCAGAATCCTGAGTGGGTTAACTGGTATATTAGGTCAAGCACAAAACCAAAGGATGGATCCGTGTTCTAGATACTTGCGCAAAATTGTCCTTGCACCATATCTGCTTCAATTTTCATAAATTGAGTAAGATGAAAACTCACTATTGGTGGAGACGTTTCCCCATCTAAAAGTTGTCGTCTGCCAAGCTCGATAGCATCAAATATTCAAGTCGTGCAGATACTGTTATTCAATTTATGGCACCATCCGATACTACTCTGTTCAGTCCTAAAAGCACCTGGGGATATTTACAGACACGAGGTTGTGCTAATAGCTATTTGCACAAAACTACTCTATTTCATGCACTCATCCTGGCGAAATTGTTTGTAGATGGGATAGTTCGGCTTTATTAGTGGATCTTTGATGGCAAGAAATGATAAATCCCCTATTCTCTAATTTTTCTAGAGTGTCAACACTGCCGTTAAAGAACTCAAGTGTATTTATTTCCAAGCGGTCCGAGAAGATTGATACATCAAGAGCCGTCTACTCCAGAACGATGGAATACTTACAAACAATTCGAAAGATAGCTCTGCAGACGCTAATTTAGACATTGGAAGCACTACACACACGTTTTGCTAGTCACCTACCACAATATTCGGCCAGCAATAGTGCAGCCTGCCAGTATCATTATAAGTCTTACATATCTCAAGCCATAGCAAAGCGGGAGTCTAGTATTAGCTGGTAGCTAAAGCTTGAAGAGTTTCATTGTCGCTACAGAAAGTTCAAATATTAGATATGTAACGAACCTCTGGAATCCAGCCAAACGAAGACGTTGCGCCGCCCAGAGAAAGTTCCATTTCCAAATTTGCAACAAAAGGTTCAATTCCGAACAGAAAAGAAATGGCTACTGCCCTCCTAGAAAAGTTTTGTCTCGATATCTGGGGAAGTGTATCCTATAGTCGTAATTCCATATGGCCTAGTATCTACTGAGCGGTTTTATACATAATGAGGCAGACAGGGCGATATTCGTGGTAATAGGTATCTTTTAGGATCATCATCAACAATCACAACACGGCGTTCGTTTTATTAGTATCTAGCAAATTGTGAATTGTGGTAATGACGAATTCAAGGCCTAAGGTAGTTCCAATTGATATATTGCATGCCTTGACATCAAATCTTTGTACGCGTGAGCTTCGCTGATAAGAATATTTATCCAGGCTCCGCCGAGAAGGTATAACTAATGCCAGAATTCTTTTTGCTCCTTGCTTAGTAACTTTAGATTGTGGTCTTGTGTGATGTCTGACTTCAAGTATTCAATCGAACAAATGGTCACACTAACTAGGTACTTCATAACGTTCACTGCTCTTCTCTTAAACATGAAGTGAATCGTTATCATAGTTCATTATAGCTGGGCGTAGATAGAACGAATTCGCTACAGATAGTCTCTAATCTCTCAGATACCGAGCTTTTGCACGAGTGCCAGTAGCAAATTATGGCAGCCGAAAGGGATATTTCGTAAGTGTGCGTACTCTTACAATTCTTTCTTTGCAGCTAATAGCCTCAACTTCTTAGCAGGTATTTCACACTTTCCTAATGAATCTATAAGGATGATAGTGGGACAACTTTACCGAACTGCCAATCTTGTCCACCCCAGACAAATTTTATGTCCATTAAAATTGCAGACTTCAGGTGCCTACGCGCAGTACTGGAACGTTAATCTCTTTGTCCTCCAAATTCGACTGGATACGCAGCTCATCGCAAATATGATCTTACGATGAGCCTCATTGATATAAGATACGACAAGAAACGCTAATCATAAGTGTAAATCCAGAATACGGATAAGAAGCAAGAAAAAAAAAAATATTTTAAAAACACCTTCTTACTCAACACTCGAGTAGTAATCAAAGTTACTAATACAGTGTTCCCGAAACAACACATACTCTTTTAACATGGCTCTTCTCGTCTGTAGCCTCGATTCTCTAAAACTGGTATTACATTTCCTTGAAATATCAGTGTTCGGATATGAATCGGGAAACCTGAAAGTGATTAATAATTTGTCATGCGCTCGGTTAATCTTCTAACTTACATCTCCTTCCAGTCTCGCATCTACCCTAACCTTCCGACCACGTCATTCTTCTTTTCTGGACGTTGTGATTACTTGACTGACACTTTGAAGCTTCTTCAAGTATAAAAACTTCAAACCTATCGGTTAAAAGAGATATTTGTGCTATAGGAAAACAGCATCTCAGTATCATGGTGACGAGATAAAGAAAGCGCGGCATTGTACTGTATGTGTATGGCCAAGTATTTTTGTGCAGTTTAATAGTTAAAAATCCGTTAAATCTATAGCTGCTACTAGAGTCGAGTATGTGATGGTGCTAGCTTTTGTGATATGGTGGATGTTTTTGACAATGAAACGGGATCATGGTGCAAACGAAGAATCATGCTGAGAATGTTGAGCTAGGGGATACATACACGACACTTCAATATTATATGATAGGCGAAATAAACGCACTTGGCTAGTAGTAAACTTTTTCCGAGAAGGTTGATGATGATCGGTAACCAATATTGCTGTCTCTAATGAATATAACGTAGAATATCCATCTCATTTATATTTACATATCTATGAATCTATACGAGTCCATGAATTTTTGACTTCCACGATGCATCATGTAAGTCTTACATTCATCCCTTATTTCCACACATTTTCTTTTCTCCGCCCTTACTATCAATTAACTCCTATTTTCACATGTATATGCTCTCTATACTCCAGTAAATCCCATCTGTAACTCTCACCTATCTTCAGGTTTAAGAATTTCGAGATATCGTGAAGCATCAACCATATTCTTTCGTAGGATCATTTGTGTTATCCCTTTTCTAATGTAAGAATGCGAGAATTAAGAGGAGAGAAGGAGATAATTATGAACGGTTATTTGAGCGCATTGCATAATTACAATCACTGACGACGATAAATCTTAAAACCAGGGAGAATGATGATGATATTATGGACTATTTCTTGAGATGATAGTAGATGTTTGTATGCCTCTCAGTTCTTTTAGACCGTTTATTTGCAGTATATAGATGCAGCCGCCGACATCGTGTGAAATTCCATACTTCAATTCGGATCAAAAGCTCACAATACTCAATTGGTTTTATGATGGAGAAGAGTTTTAAATCAAAAGCGCTTATAGAATAAACCGTTCGTTTATTCCACAGAACTACTCGAAAACTAAACACAGAAAGAAGAATAACATTTGAAACCATTGAGTATATCATCCCAACACTTTCCTCCCTGACAGAAGTCTCGCACACTCTGTCCTACAAACCTTAGCATTTTCTTCACAACTTTCTAACAACGCCCCTCAACCTCACATAACCAATCCAATCGCCACCCCCAGGACTCCTACAAACACTCTCCAGCACCTGACAAACTTCATTCTCCGCTTCCATCCTTTCCTTTCCCTCTCCTAACACATCAAAAAACTGTTTCCCCATTAACCTAACCCATCCTTCTATGCCTCCTTTATCCGCCTCCGTAGCTCTATATTCCCTCTCCAATTTTTCAATTTTCCATTTCCCTACACCAAGCTTTGCATCCTCTGCATTTCCACCTCCGTCTCCATCTCCATCACCCGAACCCACAACAGAAAGTACATCCCTCATCCACACCTCATCAGGAAAAAACCAAGGATCACATTCCCTCACCCTCCGCAAACCCCCATCACATCTCCTTCCCACCACACTCAGCAACGCGGTTCGCATCTCAGCTACATTACCCATACCGCCCATTTCGAAGACCAAAATCCCACCAGGTTTCAGAAGCCTGAGAATATGTTTGAAGAACGAGATGCGGATGGATTCGCGTCGGAGAATCCAGTGCAGAGCTGCGTTGGAGAAGATTTTGGTGTAGGTACCGGAAGGGAGTGTGGATAATTCAGAGGAAGCATCGAGGACTTTTATCGTTAGTTTTTTATCTTTCGTTTATTTCTTTCCTCCCTTCTTCCCTTTCCTCATCTTCCTTTCCATCTCCATCCCACACCCAATTAAAAAAACAATCTCATAAAAACTCACCCTCAAACCTACAAAACCCCTCCACCCCCTCCCTAACAGCAGCTTTCTTCGCAGCAGCAATCATATCCTCCGAACTATCAACTCCATGAATACATCCCGAGCCTTTCGCCAGGGTAGCAGCAAGTTGCACGGGAATAATTCCATCTCCGCATCCAATGTCTAGAATAACATCATCGCTTTGTACATCCAACCAATCTAGAACTTTGGTAGCGAGTCTGGGGACGAAGGATGCAGAGTTTTGGTAGGCCTTTTATTGGGTTTGGTCAGGTTAAGTTAGGTTATTGTGCTTTTTTTTTCCTTTTGGTTTTTGGGAGAGCTGGGTAGGAAGAAAGGGGGGGTTTTCTTGTTGTTTGGGTTTTGTATCTGATCATAATGGAGATGTATGGGAGAGAATAGATAAACAAGGAAGAAAACAGGATATAAATACCGAAGCAGACCAATGATCTTCGTGTTTCCCTTCTACTCCCATTTCTTCAAATCCAAATCAAATCAATGCCTGCCTGCCTACTATTAGTCAAATTCAAATCTGCTAACTGAATCCAAACGCAAAATCCAACAAATAAACACCGAACTCCAAAACCATCCAATTCCCCAACAACCCTCCTCACCTCCCCACAAAACTCCCATTCCAATTTCCATCACACAAAACCCTCCCTCCCAATACCTATATACGAATAATAAATCAATAAATAATAATCTGTCTTTCTTACCTAGGCAGATCACAAATCCAATCAAACCCCGCAATTGGAAAAAAAAACCACTCCACCAGCTAGCTCCAAATAGGATCTTACAACTCGTGGAAATTATAAGTGAATAATTAAACGAAAAAGATGAAAATAAAATATAATTCGAATATCTATCTGGCTTAGATATTTAATAAATACCAATTCAAAAATCTTTAGGTTCTAAGAGTTCAGGTTAATTAAATAATAAAATATCCCATGATCAGTCACAGATGTAACACTCCGATTTCGGCGTCGTGAGAGATAGGGGATGGAAGCGAGTAACAAACCTCAGTTACCATCTTCAATGGATGTATGACACTGTTTGCTGTCCTCCGATTGCGCTTCATAGGACATACTACCGTCTTGATACCGTGTTAAATTCCTGCCATACATATCCCTTAGATTCTATACCGGTGATGGCATTGATACTTTTGAAGGTACTTAATAATTCATTCTATATGAGGCCGAATCTAAATACTCAATCAAATCCATGCGTAATGCATGTCACCTGACTCCGATTTCGCTCTTAAAGACAAGCTGACCGCCATTCATAATGTATCCTCCTTGCTAATCGATCTCCAGAAGTTCATATTTATTTTCGCCCAATAAATCTTCAATTCTATGCATAATAGCAAGTACCTTTTCCTCCTGTAATCGCTGACCTACTACTTGAATTCCGACTGGAAGTCCGTGCATAGCAGTTGCATCATAATGCTTATAGGCACCATATGCGACTCCATTTAAAGATTTGAGTGAGAAATTTGAAGGGAGGTGATCGAGTTCTTTGTCGACGTGGGTTATGGGCATAATACCTGTTGTGTAGTCGAGCTATTTTTCATGTTAGCTGATTGATCGAAAATATATGTAATGCACTTACAAGATTGAACAAGAAAGTGTAACCACAACTGCTAACTGCGTCTCTCATTCCGTCGTGAGGTACTGCTGGTGTTGCATTTGGTGGAGTGATCATGAAGTCAAGTTTCACTTCTTCTTCCCACCAGGCATGAAACTTAGCTTTGTAAGCTTCCCTCTTGCTGACAAATTTCCATTGCTCGTAAGCAGATTTTTGATGCCATTCTTTGATTAAACCAGCCCAGATATCGTCCCTTCTGACATACTTAACCCAAGCCCAATATATCCATTTGAATGGTCTTGGTAAAGACATAAGCCAGCTCATCGCCTTTGCTCCTGGATCTTCCCATTCTCCAGTTCTGAAGAATGATTTAAATGTTCTGCAACCGTCCGAGTTGAGAAGTTGTGAGCCAATGTAAAGTGCTTCATATGGAGCTGGTGGGTTAACATCATAAACTTCATGGCCATCCTTTTCAAGTGTAGCTACTACCTCATCCATGGCTCTCATACAAGCGGGACTTGGATCAACGACTCCATCGGTTCTCAACACACCGACTCTAAACTTCTTTTTTTCGCTGAAATCCTTCCATACCTCCTCTCTCCATGGAATGGGATGAACACTGTAATCATACCTCCATGGTTGCATACCAATCATAGATTTTGTGAAATATGAGAGATCTCCCAAAGTTCTTGTCATAGGACTAAACACACTAGGAATACCCTCTTGACCTGGCATACTAGTGCACACCCCATTCTTAGGCCATCTTCCAGTTGAGCATCTCAAGCTATAAATTCCTGAGAAATGAGCTGGAACTCTAACCGACCCAGCAACATCTGAGCCTATTCCAATCCGTCCACCGCCAGCAGCTAACAAAGCAGCCTCACCTCCGGTAGATCCACCCGGTGAATATTTGCTGTTATGAGGGTTTGTGGTTCGTCCCCAAAGATCGTTTGTAGATTCGAAACTTAGTAATGTAATTGGAAGATTCGTCTTAACATATGGAATTGCTCCAGCATCCTTTAGTATCCTCACCAAGGTGCCATCCTTTTCTATTTTGTTGCCAACGTTCCCACTGTATCCTACACTTGTATCGAAACCACCGACTACAATTGAATCTTTTAGACTTATGGGAATACCTGCCAGAGGACCTTCCATATTGATACTTCCATCAGTTGTCCAGCCTTCAGCAGCATCAATCATAACCTCCGTCACACAATTCGTTTTCTCATGAGCTTTAAGGGCAGCTTTTCCGTATGCGCGTAGGATATCGATTGGTTGAATAGCTTGTTTGTGAACATCTTGAACGAGTTCTTCAATTGGTTTTGATAGCACTTGTCTTTCTGAATCCGTAAATGCTCCGTGATAGCTGGTAAGGTTTTGTATGTGTTGGGCTCGTTCCGCTTGTTTGAATTGACTATAATGTAGTGTTAGACATTGATGAAGATAACCCCCGACGGCGTGGAGTTCCCTCGAGATTGTTTGATAACGACAAGAAACGACAGGTGACGGTGGGATGAATACTTACCAATCCCTTCGATGCTGGAAATAATCAAGTAAATAGACCATTTTGAGTAAAAGCCAGCAGAAGCAGCAGTTATGTGAAAATGTGTGTATGCAATATGAAGGACAAGAATATAGAAGGAAGAAATGTAGAAATGCAGAAAGGCTGGGGCACCAGGTTTGTGGAGGGGGAATTTAAAGCCATTGATATCCGGGACACAGGACCGCGTTAAGTTATTATATTGTATTGTACTCAAGAACCCTTTCCCCCTTCCATAGATAAGCGGTTGTACATTCCTAAATTGGGTTGAGAGCGAGAATACCCTATCCAGAGTTAGCTACTTACTTGCTCTAGCTAAAACTTACCTGCGAGTCTACGACTTGGTGGACCTATCAAGTTTGTCAATAACAAGCGCAATGCGGGGTATAGCCGAAATCATATCCAAGGCCAAGGCGAGAAATATGCCACCAAACAGACCAGCCATCATTCCTCGATCACCTGATTCCCATCTACCCCTCTTTTAGACCTCGTCCGACCTGCCATATGCAAGCAAGTACCTAGGTAAGATTACATATTCATTCAATATGTCTACCACCTCTACTCCATACTCTTCTATCTCGACGCCAGCAACAATAGTTCAAGACGGTGCCATTCACGACTTTGAGGATCCCCTTCACGAATACGATACCCCACCCTTCATAACCATGCCGGGCTCAGAACATCTACTCATTTGTACGGCATGTGGTACACAATTTGATGCTGAAGATCGATCGATTCTTACCAGATGTCGAATATGTGACGATCCTAGGCAATTTGTTCCGCCGGCTGGTCAATGCTTTACAACTCTTGCGCAGTTAAAAGCTGCCGGAGAATATAAAAACAAATGGAAACAATTTGATAACGACGAAAGATTCTGGAATATATGGACCGAACCTAAATTTGCGATTGGGCAACGAGCCATACTTATTAAGACACCGCTTGGAAACGTTTTGTGGGATTGTATAACATATTTGGATGATGAGACGGTGGATTGGATTCATGGATTGGGTGGACTGGCAGCGATCGTGATATCTCATCCACATTATTATACCACACATTTGGATTGGGCAGAGATATTTGATTGTCCAGTGTATTTGAGTTGGGAGGATAAGAGTTGGCTGAATCGACTTGACCGGATGGGAAAGGCAAGAACGTTTATTGAGGGGAAAGAGGAAGACCTCGAGATACGGGGTGAGAAGACTGGCGTTAAGATGTTGAAGCTTGGTGGTCATTTCCCTGGGAGTTTGGTGTGTCTCGCTCATGGAAGATTACTGGTAGCGGATACCTTGGTAACGACCCCAAGTGCGTTAGGAGATTGGAGTAAAGGTCCTGGAGGAGGGAAGAATACAAGACCGGATGGAATGAATAGTTATGCTTTTATGTGGAGTATACCTAACATGATACCCTTGACTGCGGATGAGGTAGTTGGGATGTGGGAGGTCTTAAAGCCTCACAGTTTCTCGAGTACTCATGGAGCTTTTATGAACATGGATGTGGTAGATGGAAGTAATGGGAGTGATAAAGGAGTTAAGCAGAGGATACTTGAGAGTATGCAGATTCAAGTAAGGAGAATGGGCTGGAATAACCATATATTCTTGAAAGAGAATTTGAAAGAGCAGGAAGAAGAGGTTCTATGATACCAATGATAATGATAATGATGGTGATACCTCTTTTTGCATTAGATCTGTTACATTAAAATTGATAATGCCCAAAACTAGTTTGCATGTTGAACGTCGGCCATGTTATATGTGAAATCGTCCAAATGGTATAAACCAAAACTGACTCCATTGTCTAGTTACGCTTTCAATATCCAACTTGATTCTACTGTTCAATTCTATTTCCATATCCAATACAATCCCTTATCTTGATTATCTATTCAACAACTTGATAGAAATAAAGATATCTAATCTGATTCTATCGCCTATCATATCCTGATATTATTATCTGGAGCTATAACATTACCCTACCCACCCCTATATAGCTTTATACTTTTTCTGATTTATAAGAATAAGATAATTTATATATGCCTTTATATATCTATTATACTTAAATGAGATGATGCTTCTAATTCTTAATTCGGCTTCATTACTCGAGTAAAACATTCTAGATTAAATATAAACTACCTAGTAGCACCTAAGCTACCCCAGCTAAGCCCCTGAAAATCAACCCTTATCCATTGTTATCGCACCACCTTTACAGGGGCAACCAGGCCTTATAAAGTATATTTAGCCTCACCTGATCCCCAATTTTAATTCCCCTAAGCTCCAAACCGAATCTCCCAGCGTCGTAATAAATGCTCGACACAAATCCCATCTGCGCCAATTCTATGCACAAAGTACGAACCCATCCCATAATATACTGTCCACGCAGGCACGAGTACGTACGTACCTTAATATAACAACATTCTTGTCATCATTCCTTGGTACCGAGCTACGGCCAAGGAGGTCAGTCGGGTATGGTATTCAATTGTAGGTAGGGGAGCAACCAAATTAGAATATCAGAATGGCACCTTTTTCTTCACGTTCTCAATTTATCCATTCGACGCGCGATCATTTTAGAGAGCCTCCGTCGGTTTTAAGTAGGTTGTTGTTGGCGCTGCCGACGGATTTGGCGGTTAGTTTGCAGAGAATGGCAGATCAACAGAATGTAGGTGTGGTTGGGGGAATGTTATCCAGGGTGTCAAGGTCATTGAGGGGGAGGATGAGGGATTGGAGTTGGAGACGTGTTTTAAGTTTACCTCATTTGCTGGTCTGTGTTTGGGTGGTGGTTCTGTTATATGGAGAGCGCTGGGTGTTTGAGGAAGCTGTGCGAGCTTGCGCTTGGGAGGAATGGGAGAGATGGGTGAGTTTTCTTGATGGGGGTTTGAAATCATTGACGACGAGGCTGATGATATATTTGATATTAATAGCCTCCAAATACCACACCTCATCATTTAATATTTTTGGCAGATCCTCAACTTACGGATCCGCATTCGTATCCAGATCGTCCATGGCCTTTGTCAACATTTACAATATGGCATACGGATAATTACATGAAGAGATCTTATATACAGCTTTCGAAGCAATTACATCCAGATACTGTATTTTTCCTAGGGGATTTATTTGATGGTGGAAGAGAATGGAAGACGGCGCATGGAAATTCAGAAGACCAAGCATGGGCAAAAGGACGTCGACCAGCAAAAGAGCAGAAACATGTTGAAAGTTGGGGAAAAAGATATGGGGAGGACTTTTGGCTGCAGGAATATGGTCGCTTCTCTAGGATTTTCTCGGACAACTGGAATTTGGGAGGATCAGAAGCTGGAGTTGGGCAAAGGGGACGAAAGCTAATTGCTAGTTTACCGGGAAATCATGATTTGGGGTTCGGTGCACAAATCAAGGTTCCTATTCGTGATCGATTCGAGGTCTACTTTGGAGATGTAAACAGAGTGGATGTTATTGCGAATCATACATTTGTTTCTGTGGATGCGGTATCATTGAGTGCTGGAGCATCAGATCGTCCAGTCAGTGAAACTGCACCTATCACTAAACCAGTCGAGGACTTTTTAAACAATGTTCAAATTACCAAACGAAAAGCCGTGGCTAGAGAATTGGATTTTCAAGCTGGAAAGGAAAGGGTTTTACAATATTCTCATTCCGTTCAAGATGTGGAATTGGCTGATTACGCACATTTGCCAACTCTTGACCCTGGACCAAATGGTGCTGGATTTCCTACTATCCTTCTTACTCACGTGCCCTTATATCGAAATCCTGGGACTCCATGTGGACCCCTTCGAGAACATTGGCCGCCGACTCCTCCACCAAAAGGTCAAACTACGCCAGTTATCCCTGATCATAGAAACGCCATTAGTGTATCCCGAGGCTATCAATACCAAAACGTCCTTAGTGATGATGACTCCAAAAAGCTCATCTCGAAAATCGGTAATGTCGTTTCGGTCTTCTCAGGCGACGACCACGATTACTGCGAGCTAGTACATCCAGAAGATAAAAACCACGCACGCGAAATAACAGTCAAAAGTATGAACTGGGCAATGGGAATTCGTAAACCCGGTTTCCTCATGCTGAGTATGTGGAATCCAGTTGCGGCAGATGGAAAGCCATTACATTCGGTACCTACAGGTCATGGTGCCGAAAGTACGCATACTTCAAACACCATGGAATCCCATCTTTGTCTATTACCCGACCAAATAGGCATTCTCATAAACTACGGAATCCTAGTGGGAATATCGCTCATTCTCCTCATCATCCGAGCAATTCTCGTCCCCTTTACAAACCTCATGCCATTCGCTTCTTCTTCATCCCCTTCAAAGAGTCCTACCTTCGACTCCGAATTCTCGCTCCTCCCAACAAGCATTAAAGATCTCAAACGCAGCGAAGAAGAAGAAAAAGATCGTCTTAGTAATTCTTCAACTTCTTCTACATCCACGGTAAACAGTTCCGCAACTCGTACATCTAGAACACGCACCTCGAGTCCAGCAAACGGTTACGGTCTCCCGGCAAATTCTCATGGTATACCATATCAACAGCAACAACCATTAATAGAAAAAGCGGGATATTATGGTGGATTAGAAGGAAGATTGAGGTGGGAAAGTGAGAGGGAATTTGAGAGGGAGGTGGAGTTGGAGAGAAAAAGGAAACAGGAATTGGAAAGGAGGAAAAATTATAGACCTTGGAAAATAGTGGTTTGGTGGGGAAGATTTAGGGGGACGGTGCCTGGACGTATGTTGAGGGAAGTGGGTACAAGTGTTTGGAGGGTGGTGTGGGTGGTTGGGGGCGTATTTCTGTGGTTTACTTGGTTTGGGTAGGCTTAGATGGTAGTAGTGTAGTTAACTGGGTTTGGGGCGCTTTTTGTACTGCATTTAGGAGTGTATTTGCTTGCTCGCCTGCTACTATTTAGTGTCTACTTTATATAGATTTGTTTTATATTTTGTTTTTACTTCTACTTCCACTTCTGTTTCGATTTATTGTCGGCTTGCCGACACCAAAACCTTGCTGTACATATAGCGTATCGCAATTTACCTGGTGTAGGTCATAGAAAATGAGAAACTCGTTTAAGTGAATCGCGATCCTAACAATCTGATTGATCTAAAATACCCCGGTAAATAATCCAACAAAAAGCTTGATATAAATCTTATAATTTCAGGCAAATCTGACTTAGAACTTTTTTCAACTCTATATTACAAGGTAACAGTCAACCTGTCCATATAAGCTTAGGCAATTTGTATACAAATTTGTATAGTAATCGCCTCATGTAGTCTCCCCACCCTCAGCAAGCTCGGATATATAATCTGATCCTAGAGATTATATGATGGATCCTATATATACAAGGATACAAATCGTAGGTTCATACGAATCATAGGTCTATATGAATTGTAGGTCTATACAAATTGTAGGTTTATACAAATCTACAGAATATAAAGATCTATATAAACCAAAGGGGTTTTTTATATATAGAAACTTTATATTCAAAATCAATTATTTAGTATATTCTATTATTAGTTACAAATTATAATTATTGATATTATTTTAAAACTTTTATTTGACATTTAATTATAAACTATTCGAGGATCCAGATCACTTTTATATAATCTAGATCATATCCCTTGTAACATTTTGAGTATCATTATTATCTCAAATACCAGCTCGACAAAATAATATTATATCTTCTCAAACCTTTTAATCTAATAATCCAATTTCAACTATCTTAAGAAATATAGATTAAAATGAAGATATCGTTATAAAAGAAACAAAGAATCTTTAAAAGATTATTATTATCGAAACCCTCAAAATCATTCTACCCGATAAATTTATAGATTATCGATAAGAATTGAAAACCTTTTTATTCCAATGTTACGAGGTTGCGATCTAGATCATGTGGAAGTGGCCTGGATCCTCGAATGGTTTATAATTAGGCGTCAAGCAGAAGCTTTAAAGTAATATCAATAGTTGCAATTTGTAATTAATAATAGAGTATATTAAATAATTGATTTTGAGTATAAAGCTTTACAAAAGGAATCCTTTTCTAATTATATAGATTTTTGTATCAATTGGATTATAAGGATTTAATGGATTTAGAATATGATTTTTTAGATTCTTTAGATTCTATAATCTATTATATAATTACGATCAGATTATATATCCGAACTTGTTGAAAATAAGGAGATTATATAAAATGTTTATTATAGAAATTTATATACAAATTGCTTTATTTTTCAATAAAATCTAAACTTATATAAATAGATTAACTATTACTTTATAATATTATTCCCTTTCTAACCTAATACTTATTTCAAACTTTTATAGTAATCTTATCTATTAATTTATAAGATTTTTTGTAAAATAGATTTTTTCTTTTTTTCATTATATCATTTATATAATTAAGAAAATATAAAGAACAAATCGAGTTTACAAAATTAATCAAATTTCAAAGAGATATTATATTTTTATATATTTATTATAAAGATAACTCTTATATTTATATTATTTCGAAAAAGAATTTTTTTCAATATAATAAATATATATATTAGAAGATCAAATATGATTTTATAGATCCTTCTATTATAAATATATATAATCTGATTCAAGAGTAGAAGTATTTAAACAAAGAGAAAAAGAAAATAATTAATTTGATTATAATTATCATTTCTTGTTTGATACAATTATACAAACAATATAAGTTTTTTCAAATTTGTAATAATGAAATGATTTATCAAAGCTTGAAAATAATAGATGAATTGGAGAAATTTAAAAAAAAGAAAAATTTAAAAGAAAAAATTGTTGAAAAAAGAAAAAGGGTTTTATTGTTTAATGTTTTTAACTCTAAAAACGATTCTTTTGTAATATCTTTTTTCGATTCTTCTTTTTTCGATTCTTTAAATCCTAATAATCCGATTTAAACAATTCTAAATATCATTAATAGAATACTTTCAATTTCTCAAAATAATTAAAATCTTTCTTTAACTTTCAAATATTCTTCGAATATAGAAAATCCAATTATTTAATCAAATATTTGATTTTGCCTTTAATATATTTATAATCTAATATTGTTTCGATATTATATATAATATTTAAATTGACTAATTCGATTTCTATTATAGATATATCGGATACTCTTAATAATATCGATTCGAATAAGGATATATAAAATATTAGATAAATATTCATAATATATAATAGTTTTAATCTATAATTAACTATTTCAATTATCTTATCGATTTTGAATAATTCTAATTTCTTGTAATCTAATTTATTGTTAGATTGTTTTGTTTATATATTTCTTTAAAAAAGATAAATTTTATTTTCCTTTTTAAATATAAGTTTTAGATTACATAATATATTATAATATATTATTGTTCTTAAAACTATAAATTGTAAATCCAAAAAGAATTGTTTTTATAGATTCTTGATCTTTTCAATATTCTTTATAGCTTCATCTATATTTCCATTCTGTAGTAATGCTATTCGATATACTATTGAATGGAATCCGAAGTTAGTATAAGCTGGTATAGTTTTCGTTGTTTTCGTTTCTGATGAATTATATACGAATTGAATCAAGGGTAGTAATTCAATCCAATTGTTTTGTTTGTAATTAATATAACATTATAAATAAATTTTCATTGTTTAATTTAATCGTTTTATTTATCTATCTATTTGTAGATAAAAAATTGTTGATAACTTTCTTTTTATATTTAATAATATTATTAATATAATCCAAAATTTCGAAGTAAATAGTTTATTTCGATTCGAAATTATCTTTTCTGATATATTATATATATTGATTATATTTCTTAGAAATATATATATCAAATTGTCAATAAATTATATTTCATAAAATGATATTATATAAGTATATTTGATTAATCTATTTGTTATTATTAAAATAATATTATATTCCTTTTTCGTAATTGATTTCTTGAAAAAAGATAATTTAATTACAAAATTCTATATAATGAATTTCTATAATTCTAAAAATAGATTGAGGGTTTTGAATTGATTATATAAAGTATATTTAATGGTTTTGTTTCGTATATAAATATTATATTTCCCAATTATTCCTTCAATTATTATTCTCATTTTTGGGAAATATATTTCCCATTGTAGCTTTATAAATGTTTTGATTATTCTTTGATATCTATATACTAGTAATTTGTATTATTTTTTGACGAAATCTTTTGTTATTTTAATAAAGATATAGATTTTATTATAAAAATAGATTACTTTTTCCTTGATTGTAAATTCTAATTCTAATTCTTTTAGAATTCGTTATACAATAGTATTATTCTTATAATAGAATAATAATTGTAATTTGATTATATTATTCAATAATTTGAAAGTAATAATTAATTATAATTTGTTGTATACTAATATATTATCTTTTTGTTTTAATATTATATATATTTTGTAAGTTTTGTTTTATAAATATTTTGATTTCTGATTAAGAATATTTGTTTTAACATTTTTGTTTCCTTTGATATATGAAATTCTGAAATTATAAATTATCAAGATTTCCAATTATCTAATTTATTATCGATTTAATTCCTTCATTATAATAAAGTAAATTAAGTTTTTATAATTTGTATATATTTGTATTATATATTTTGATCTTTCTAAATATACTTTTTATTCCCTAAATATATTTATTATTATTAATAGTTTTTTATTATATATCTTGTAATTTAATTCAGTTAATAATAACTTTCGTAAATAGTAAATGATTGATTATTATTTCTTATTTGAATTGAGTTGATTTAGTATAATTTCTATTGTATAATCTGAAATATTTGTTTCTATAATTATTGATAATTCTGAATCGAAGATTAAAAGAATAAATTCTTTGATAAAAACCTTTTTGAAATCCTTGAATGCTTTTTGTATTTATGAAATCTATTGGAATTCCCTTTGATTCTTTTTGGTGATTTTCGATATTAAAATGATTATTTTGGAATAATCTTTGATAAATCGTTAATAAAAGTTGATGAATTTTAAAAAGGATTGTATCTTTTTTATATTATTCGATAATTCTCAATTTTGAATTGTTTTTAGTTTATCAGAACTCATTTTGAAGCCTTTTGAAAAGATTGTGTAACCCAGGAATTCCGTTTCCGTGATATGGAATTTGTATTTGTTAAGTTTGTATTGAAAATCTGTTTCCTTCAAGCATTTTAATACTTTATATATATCTAATATATATTATTCTTTTATTTCAAAGAATACAAGAATATTGTTTAAATAGTATATATAATAGATATTCAGGTATTTTCTTAATATATTGTTGATTAATCGTATATATATTATTAATGTATTAATTAATCCGAATGATATAATTTGATATTTGTATAATCTATATTGAATTCTGAATACTATTTTCCATTTCTTATTTTTCTTTATTCTGATTAGATGAAATCTGTTTTTTAAATCAAATTTAAAGAAAATCCTTATTTTTCTCAATCGATTCTTTAGTTTTGTAATTAATAGAAATAGATATTGATTCTTAATTGTTATATTATTGAGTTTATAATAATCTATATATAATCTTTTAGTATTATCTTTTTTGGATATATATAATACAAAATTAATTATCTGTAAAATTGATTTTTTGATTCAATTTTTTTTTAGTATATTGTTGATGTATTTCTTAAATATCCTTAATTCCAATTTTGATATCTAATAGATTAATCCGAATAGAAACGTTTTGTTTTCTTTCAATACTATTTTATAATCTTATAATTTGTATTTTAGTAAAACCTTATAGTTTTTTCTTTCTTCAAATAATTTTTTATATTTCTAATATTATATTAGTATTGATATTCTTTCCTATTTCTATACAAAAATAATATCAAATAATTTCTTTTGTTTATTTTTCATTTATATAAAAGATTTATTTTCCTTCGTTATTAATAAAGGATTTTGAATTGGGTATTCTATATCGATAATATTGTTTGCTTTCAATTCTTTATTATATATATTCAATTTTATAAACTCTAGTATATTGTAATGATTACTTTTATTTGGGAAGTTTATAATTTCAATAACCTAATT